TTATGTGAAACAAATATGAAACAGATGTACTAGACTCTGTGGTGTCTTTCATTTCGACTTCACTGGGATATATAAACAAGAGAGAGAAAAACTCTAGATACCCATAAGGAGCATAGTTATGATTAATGATTACAAAATCATAGTTCATGGAACAATAAGGCTAAATTAGACTGTTTGAAAAACAAATAATTATATGGCGGCCGCTGTTACGTAGAATATTGACCCGGTTAAAAATTGACCGGGGTTCATTTTTCGACATTGAATATTGAACCGGTGTTCTTTTCCTCCGTTGAAAATTGAGACCAAAAGTCGTGGAATTTATACCCGGCTTCATTTTTCAACATTATTTGTTCGGCACTGATGACATAAACGCGTTGAAAATTGTCCCTGTTGAATATTGACCCCCCGACTACAGCGTTTTGACCTGTGTTCGATCTGGAGGTTGTTATACATGATTTTTATGTATATACATGTAACTACTTATATATTTATCAATTTCATAATTTGAATTTCTTCTAGTATAATAAAATCATCCCGAAAATACAGTTGTTGTTCAATACACCTTACATCTTATTTCATTGTTGTCTTGACAATTACCCCGGTCCCGCGTTTCAATGACGATTCAGTCCCTCAAGTATTTACATTATGATTTGATTAAAGATTATTATTAAATAAAATGAATTAACAAAGTTCTGTAATTTTATTTAAATTTGTGAATAAGGTTGGTTAATACGTGTGATAAGATGACAAATTATATAATTATATTGTGCAGGCGTTGTGTTCACAAATTTGTATTGTTTTTGAGAATTTTGAGGTCATTCATTGTTTGTTATTCCCACCTTTTTTCATTTTGGTTGAAAATTACGTATACCGGTATATTTTATAAAGAAAATTTAGTCGGTTGATCTAACCCCTGCCTCAACTTATAAACTATCATGGAAAGGGCTACTTCTTTTTCAATTATTTCATTTCATAGAGAAAGATTACCAAGTTCAGATCTATAGTATTTTAATTAGACCATATGCCCTTGTCACTTCTGATTTCATTTTGTATGTTTTAACATTCGTAAGACATCAACAATTTTTGTATAATGAATTAATGAAAAGTAAATGAGAAAGGTTGAAATTATTGAAAAACGATACCAAAAAAATTAGGTGTTATGTTTTTTAACTGTGGGGTGCATTAGGTATGAAGAGTCTTAATTATATGCAAGGGCTAAAGACGTTGTGTAAAATCAAAGTAGCTCTCAATTTTCAAGCTCGATATAGTATTCACTGAGTATGAATCTGATAATATTTCCCCTTTTTGTTAAGTTTTGTAGATTGTCCCTTCACCGGTATATAAAAATACCAGTATTGCTTATGGCGAATATACATGTATGCGAAACGTTCGCTATATACATTGTATAAGTGAAAAATAGTACAATATTGATTGCATATTAAAGCTTTCTTTGTGCAGATTAGAAATGAAATTAAATAATGTGATTTTGCCATAGGTCTTTAGAAAATTCGAGACCCTCCTTTCTAAAATGTGCTACATGTTTAGTGTAAATTGACCATTTCGAATTGAGCATGTATCAGTATTCATGCTAATCTTAACAAAGAAAATATATTCAGTGAACAGCATAGTAGAAAGGAAAATCAGTTTTAGTTTTTGTTTGTTTTTTGGGGGTGGGGATGGGGACAATTGAACAAAAGTTCATTGACAAGCAAAAAGACCAAAGAAAAGTCAACAAAGTGACGTTCTTTAGCTTTGTTTCCTATTGTATACTATAAGATCGCATGTATTAAAGGCAACAGTCATCCTGTGCCCCCCCCCTCCCCCCTTCCCTCACCTGGTTCCTACGGACATGGTGAACTATAAATATATACATATGTTATAATTTTTTAATCAATTAATCATGATTGTAAACGTAAATTTAATTTATATGTGTTTTTATGCTGTTGAATTTTGACCCGGTTTTATGCTAGGGTCTGAATTCAACGTTGATGGTCTCAGTGTTTAACATTGAAAAAAGACCCCCCGGGTCAGTTTTCAACAGATTTCAAAATTCAACGTTACAGCGCAAGATAAGTTATCTGGCGGCCGCCAGATAAAATATTTTTTCTACCTGGCACCTACTGGCATCCGTAGAAAACAGATACAGGTTTGAAAACTTACTTTTACTGCAATATTTCTCACAAGCAGTTTTGGAGGCACAATCAATATGAAGTCAGATCTTACATTCACCTCACTGTGACATACGCGGGCCAACGACAGATTAGCACGATAAATAGTTCGTTTGTTTTAATTCGTTGTAATTAATTTTAAATGTCTGCGCTAATGTTTCTCCTTTAAGATAGATATTTACTAAATAAATCTAGACCCATTAGTTTAATTTGAAATAATCCTTGGAATATTATGTTTTTTTATGCCCCTGGATCGAAAGATCCCGGGGGTATATTGTTTTGTCCTGTTTGTCTGTCTGTCTGTTGTCAACTTTAACCTAGCCCATAACTATTGCGCTGTCAAGGGTAAGGCTTAAATATTTGACATGAGTGTTCATTATGACAAGACCTTTCCATTGGTACAGAAATTTTTGATCATGTGACCTCAACTGTGACCTTTGACCTACATTTGAAAACTTTAACATTGGCCATAACTATTGCACTGTAGTCTACGTCCCACTCCAGAATTGTGTTACCATCGGGGGCATAGTGTTTCACAAACACATCTTGTTTAAACTTTATTTCAGAAATATTGCAGAGGTATCTGAGAGAGGAACGAACGACAACTCTGTAAAAGGAGATAGGTATTAATTGGGAGTGATCATAAATGGAAAACTTTCTCAATGTAGACTTATAAATTAAGAGAAATAACAATATAGACAGATAAATTAATAATTTAAAAAGCCCACATCAGTCTAACTACACAAGAGTACCCTTAAATCAGTGTGCAGTAGAGAGAGGGGTTCTTAATATTTCATGTCTTTATATCATGAATGAAAGAATAAATGAATGAACTTTATTACATTTTCAACAGTGAAATACTGTGATTTATTTATACTGTGTGAAAGGATACCAAAGTGATATTATGTCACATTGTGAAAGGATATCAAAGTAAGTAAAAAAAAAAAAATTCTGGCCTGTCATAAGATAGAGATAAATCATCTTGATAGAGACTAAAACTGCCAGTTTCTTCACAAATATGTTGCTAAAATCCATGTTACAATGTTTTCAATCTCTCTCAATTGCTAAGCTATGACTCACAACTTATGACACTGTGTTAGAAACGACAAAGGCAAAGAGAAATCAAAGAAAATGTAATAAACAGAAAATTCAATGTTTTGTAGTTGAATATGGAATTTATTTCACTCGAGAGACAGGATTTCTTTTTTATATTTCCACTTGTGCTACGCATTCGTGAAAATATAAAAAAAAATTCTGTCCCTCTCGTGAAATAAATTCCATATCCAACCACAAAACATAGAATATCCTCTATTTATTCCCATAACTGACAAAGCAGTGAATAGAAGATATGTACAATATAATAAACAGAAAAAATTACATGTCTGAAGAAGATATAACAGAGATCAGTGTATTATTTCCTTCCTTAATCATTGTGGCAATTAAATGATTTATCGGTGCAATAAAATTACCATTCCGTTATCGAGCTATTTAATATAATATTCTTTATACATATATATCTATTGTTTTGTTTAACAAGCAAAAATAAGGAATAAATACATAGTGTTCTGATCAAACATAAACATAATATTACAAGTTAACGTCTTTTTTAGCTTTCTTGTGTTTGTATGAATAGACCTTACCTGAAAATATGGCAAAAATAAAAATGTGCTTTATAATACAATTTTCCGGAGGGAACGTCGTGCTATTAACCGATTGGCAATTCTTGATCTGTATTCGATTGCCATCCTGAATATATATATATATATATATATATATATATATATATATATATATATATATATATATATATATATATATATATATATATATATATATATATATATATATATATATCTCGACATTTCTAGTTTTTAGATGAAATTAATGCAAAAATTTCTGCATTCAAAACTTTTATTGACAGATCAGAATTAATAGAATTGAAAACGTTCCGCAATACCGTGTGACATCGTTACTTTTCAGCCCATTCTTTTTGCTGATTGTTGGGTCAACAAGTAGTTTAAATTAATGAAGTGAGCACAATTAGAATCTTTACCACATTTCTCATCGGTTTCTAGAGATTTCAGAGTTGAAGATGCACTCACTAATTGTGGATCAATAAACCTAGCTAATTGCACTGACTAATTTGAGACTAGGACAGTTTAAATCTGCATTTGTTACATCGTTATGGTCATTTGTTACACCGTTATGGTCATTTCCTTACACCGGCCAAATCAAACTAGGACATTTAGCAAGCGGATTTTAAAGCCTCTTCTACAATATGACATGTTGAACTTGCGTTCAGTCGGCCTTGAAATAGCTCTAAGAATGTTTAAATGTCCGAACATAATTGATTTTTGTACACACAATAATGAATGAACTTGATATCCTTCATATTTGGACAGTTTGATCTACCAGTGGTACGTATAAGAATTGATTTTAACCATTTTATGCTTAAGCTTCTCATTCAGTGTGTGCAGTGTGCTGACTCAGCGTTTGCTATTTGGGTCCAAGAGAATATCAAGAAATTGGACCCTAACATTTACTTGAATTTATTGATTTATTCCTCAACGTTCAAAACTTTAGCGGTTAACAAGCTGCAAGTGCATGCCATATCGACAACTACACACAAGTCAATATTCAATACAAAAAGAATCGCGGACCATGCACTGAGCACTTTGGTGTAGTTACAGACAGTTGTAGATGTTTGTAGATGACCCTGAGCTGGTATTGACTTCATGTTTTATACATGTAAGACTGCCAGGTGATCGGAAATCTTTATTGATTTCATGACTAATGGATACCGAGAACAGAGAATTGTAAAGAGATCTGCGGGGGGAAACTTGGAACGGATTAATCTTCCATAGGTATATATCAGACCATTAACATTTGACTGTCATTTTTATTATTTACAGACAGCATGGTGGTAAAATATCTTCAGGGACTGCCAAAGACGGTCTCAACTAAGGAGATTCCATCACTGTATCATGAGCCACATATCGAGGAAGGCTATCGACAAAATGACCTTCCATGGATATACTACATCTCAAGTCTGTTTCAAATGCACAATGAAACGGTCAATGTTTGGACCCATCTTATTGGATTCGTTGTCTGTGTATACAGTTTACTGTCCTTCCAGCAAAGTTACGATCTTATAACGGACCCGTACATGTGGCCATTGGTTGCTGGGTACGCTGGTATGAGCGCCATGTTTTTATTCAGCGCATGCGCACACCTGCTTGCTAATACATCAAGCGTGGTGCATTATACTGGTTTTGGAGTAGACTATGCTGGACTAAGCTTGTACGGTATTGGAAGCGTACTACTTCACTTTAACTATGCAATTCACCACTCTGCCAAAGGATCTTTTATACAAGAATACTCTGTACCGATAGGTGTCATTCTCGCTATATGCGTGTGTATTTGTGGTTGCGTGTCTAAATTCAGCTACAGTAGGCCGTATCCTTTTCAACGGAAACTATGGATCATAATCCCAGTCGGCCTGGTGTTTGTTCTGGTGGAAATTCCGATAATACATCGACTTTATTTGTATTCCTCACACGAGATTCATGACGAGAGTCTCGTCCACCATATAGGTCACATGACCCTTTTCATTACTGCAGCCTTTTTCTTCGGTTCACACATCCCTGAGCGTTGGTATCCAGGGAGGTTTGATTTGATTGGACATAGTCATCAGATATTTCATGTATTCATAGTTTTGGTAGCTGTTGAGCAGACTAATGCTTTAAGAATCGACATTGCTAACTTAACCGAAAGTGGTATCCACCATTTGACGGGATCGAAGTCGACTTTCTCCCACACTTTTGGGGTCATATTATTCGTTCTGCTAGTCGATATATGTAGTGTTTATTACTTTCATACTCTTGTAAAAGAACGAGAAAGGAAATCTAAATGAAAGTTTGCTTTTTGTCAAGTTTTAGATTGAATTCTCAACTAACTACTTTTTAAAAATAATAATTGAAAGAATTTTATGGGTTGCTATTATGACGACCCAGAATTGTGTCCGAGAATAATTGTTGGTAACAGTTACTTGTCATAGTATTTTCTTTAGAATTATAAAAGATTTTTGATGTGATAGATTTTTTTATTGATAGTATTATCTCTGACAGAGAAACTTTGACCTGTCTGTGATAATCAATAAGTAAAGTGATTATGTTGGTGATATCTTTTTTCACATTTTAATGTGATTTTTATGCACAACGAATATTATTGCATAGTTTATTATTACATTTACTTTGTCATTTTTACATTTACACTGTCATTTTTTTTAGATTACATTTACATTGCATGTCATTTTGTCAATTAAAGACAAGCATTAATTTAGATGCATTCGTTCATCGTGATTTTTTTTTTCAAGCAATAGACAGAGATAAAGTTGATTTGAATATAAAAATATAATAAATTTGGGTTTTAAAGTTTTGAATTATTCCAAGCTCTTGTAGGTTTTTATATGATGATGTATTTATAATCACATAAAAAGTTACATACAAGCTTCCTATTAGAGATGCAACTAGAATGTCGAGACACAAAACAGCGATGGAGGTTAAACACTTCAGACAATTTTCTTTTTAAAATTTGTTTTAAAGTTTCTATATTAAATTCAATAAAATGAAGTCGAACCAAAACCATCGAAAAAATTGTATTCAAGAAAAAGTTTACTTTGAGGAGAAAAAAGCTTATGACAGTGCAACTGCCTTTGATTTTTACTAAATGTATTCATACTTTTAAAAAAAAAAAATCGTCTTCACCGCTAAGCCCAAACGATGCTAGCATAGTCTGTTTTTTTCTAGTCCTGTCAAGGATACATTGAAAGAATATACTCTGAAAATGATACTTAATCTGACGTAAACTGATTTTGTGCTATTGTTAATTCCATCGAAAAGAATATTCATCAGTGAAAAAACCACAAACGGTGATAGTTCGATCTGACGTAAGTGTTTGCTCCTAAATGTACTCGCCCGTGTACCCTGTACCGTGTACCTGGGTAGCGGAGAGGAGAAGCCACAATAGTTACTCTATAATCTCTGATTGACAATATCTTTGTGGTTTTTGGAGACCAGGTCTTCCAAAAATCTAGTGGAATTCTCAAAGGGTACCAATTGTGCCCCGTTATTAGCAGACCTATTTTATTATTCATAGGAAGCAGAGTTTGTCCAAAATCTTATACGTGAAAAAAAGAAAACACTTGCTGTGGCCTTCAACTCGACATTTAGATATATCGACGACGTATTGTAAATTAACAATGGTTATTTCCATTCTTATGTCCATACAATATATTCAGGTTAGCTTGAAATAAAACACAGAGTCTGACACATCTGTGTCATATTTGGATATTTTACTAGAAAAAGACGTTAATTGTAATCTAACAACCAAGCTTTATGATAAACGTGATGACTTTAACTTTTCAATCGTCAACTTCCCTTACTTATGCAGCAATATACCTTCATCAACTGCATGCATACGGGGTTTATATCTCTCAGTTGATTCGATACGCAAGAGCATGTTCTACGTATGAACAATTTCTAAAACGAGGTAAGTTATTGACAAACAAGTTGATGAAACAAGAATATCAGCAGTCTCGTTTAAAGTCGTTCTATGGTCGATACAATGACCTTGTCAGCAAATACAATTTATCATTAAGTCAAATGCTGACTGACGTTTTTCATACTAATTGTTAGGCCATTATTTACACACTGAATTGTCAACGGGTTTTTCCGTTATATCCCGATCATGACAAGGAGCACAAGGCGGGTGTGACCAGTCGGCAGGGGATGCTCACTCCTCCATGGCACCTGATCCCACCCCTGATTATTTAGAGTTCCGTGTTTGCTCTGCTCCAAAATTTGTATTGTTTAATAGACTTTTGAGCTTGAATACTGTTCGTTATCTCCATATATGTATATATATATATATATATATAGTTTGGCTTAGCCTACTTCAATCTTGGCTTTCCTTACTTTGAGCTTTTCTTTTTGTATAGCTTTTTCCCTTCACTTAACGTAGGTCGCGGGTTTGCTGACGTCGTTAAAACTGCTATTGGGTACGCAATTTATATGATTTGGGAGACTTTCTTGTGCACATTTGATTAGTAGTAAGCTATTTCACTTTGAGGGGGCACAACCATACATTTTCAGTTGAGGGGGGCACTATCAAGTACCAAAATTCCTTGACAAGCAAAAAAAAAAAAAAAAAAAAAAAAAAAGTCATCAGACGTTATTATTGAGGGGGGCACAAGCTTACAGCAGCTATGTTTTCTATAGTATTCTATATATCGGCAAAATTATTGGGGGGCACGGTCCCCCGTGCCCCCCCCCCCCCCCGTTCCTACGGCCATGAACCACTGCGCCACGCGGGCGACATACACAAGAGAGGAACACTCAGTCAATGCTTACTCTACTGGAGAAATAAAACAAACGCTTGTTTATGGAACAAGAGAGAGACTTTATAGTGAATCTTTTTGCAAATAACTAACGTGATAATGTTGATATTACATTTAGAATTGCAATTCAACAGCCGATCTTGACAAATACCTTTTAATGTTTATAATAGGAACGTTCATATATCCTTCGACACACATAAAAATATGAACTAAAAAAATCAACACTACAGTAATATTTTTGTGTCAGTGTCTTGTCAGGCAAACATTGCTCCAAATACATCCATAGGTCGGAATCCGCCATAAGTTGGTCTGCCTAACAATGCTGAGATCATCATTGCGTCTAAGTGCGCGTCAGTAATCATGGGTCTGGCTTCTTGACCCCCCTCTGCTGCAGCACCGGCCCCACCCTCCGCCCCAGCTCCCCCGGAACCTCGTCCATTACCGCGTCGCCGGGGTGGTCTACTAAATTCAGGGCTTCGTAGAATCTCCATGGCACGGGGGTTGGAGTAAGAGAAATAGTCCAATATCGTTTGTTGGTTCCTCATGTGCATATTTCTTTCATAAGCCATGGGGCTTTTAACGTAACAATCAGTACGCATGTCTTGTAGTGATACGAGAACAACCTCGCAACCATCAGCAACAGCAGCACAACCTGGTGGTACATGTAGTGCAGCATCATCTGCAACCCCAAACCTTAGACAAAATGAGATATTGTAAGCAGCTTGTCAAGTGAGTGATTTTTTACCACTCTTTAATGAAAACAAATAAGAAACCGGATATGATGTGCATTTAATCATCTTTTCATCATTTTATGTGAACTATGTTTATTAGGCAAAAAGCATGGATATATGAAGACCTAAATAAACTAAAATTCTTGAAAAGAGTTTATTGTTTGTCCCTAGCTACACCTGACCTCCTCTACTTTGCAATGGGGATTGTAAATACGAAGAAAATCCCACCTACCCGCAGCAGCTCATCCCCATAGTGGTGCACTTGCACCTCACACAGTCCGGCGTCTGGAATTGTGAACCCACCAATATCTCCACAGGAACCGTGTTGTTACCCTGGGTAACGTTGTGTACACAAAATTGTCTTTTGTTGCCCAATTCTGAATTTAAAACGCAAATATCATAATTAACATCAAAAGTGTATTTGTCAAGAACAGGGTTCGATTTTTCTTTGAACTCCGACAATGGATACTAGTAATAAATAATATTATTTACATTTGCAAATATTTTTCTTAGATGAACCTATTGAAGAGGAAATATGTTCAATTCTGTTTATTTACATTTGCAAATATTTTTCTTAGATGAACCTATTGAAGAGGAAATATGTTCAATTCTGTATGAACTTATTAGGGGGTCAGAGGTCATGGCGTGACCGAATCACACAGCAAGACGATATCTTGTCTACATATTTCTGTCACAGTGACACTGTTTCGGAACTTCTGAGCCGTTAAAGCGATGAAAAAGATAAAATTATTGAAACATATATTTTTTTTGTTCAACAAATGATAATTATATCTTTCTTGGGTGTGAAGAATGTTTATAATTAGCCTAAAATCACGCTTACCTTTTTAACCCGAAATTCCTTTGAAGGTATGTAAACTGAAGACGATATACCACCGCTTTTGACTTCATATATAAAGAACTCATACAATAATAGTAAGATTATTCTCAGTAGCGATCATTGTTTTTTCATTACGAACAGTTATTCCCTGAACTGGACGGCTTAACATCCATGTAAATATTCAAATGTTGGAGCGAGGCGAACTCTGAAGAACAAACAGCTTCTAGGTCATTGCGCGTCACAACATAGCAATACGGCGGGCCGTTTGTGTAATAAATGCAGTTCTACTCAGAATATTCGTCTCAAATGTAAATAAAAGTAATAAACAACAATGTTAAAAAGTTCACTGGGAAATGAACTTGGTTGGTACGTGATCAAATCTTCTGAGAAGCCCTTCGGGCTTCACAGGATTTGATCACGTGACCAACCAAGTTCATTTCCCAGAGAACTTTTTAACATTGTTGTTTATTTCTTAAATGAACTTATTAGGGGGTCAGAGGTCATGGCGTGACCGAATCACACAGCAAGACGATATCTTGTCTACATATATATTTCTGTCACAGTGACACTGTTTCGGAACTTCTGAGCCGTTAAAGCGATGAAAAAGATAAAATTATTGAAACATATATTTTTTTTGTTCAACAAATGATAATTATATCTTTCTTGGGTGTGAAGAATGTTTATAATTAGCCTAAAATCACGCTTACCTTTTTAACCCGAAATTCCTTTGAAGGTATGTAAACTGAAGACGATATACCACCGCTTTTGACTTCATATATAAAGAACTCATACAATAATAGTAAGATTATTCTCAGTAGCGATCATTGTTTTTTCATTACGAACAGTTATTTCCTGAACTGGACGGCTTAACATCCATGTAAATATTCAAATGTTGGAGCGAGGCGAACTCTGAAGAACAAACAGCTTCTAGGTCATTGCGCGTCACAACATAGCAATACGGCGGGCCGTTTGTGTAATAAATGCAGTTCTACTCAGAATATTCGTCTCAAATGTAAATAAAAGTAATAAACAACAATGTTAAAAAGTTCACTGGGAAATGAACTTGGTTGGTACGTGATCAAATCTTCTGAGAAGCCCTTCGGGCTTCACAGGATTTGATCACGTGACCAACCAAGTTCATTTCCCAGAGAACTTTTTAACATTGTTGTTTATTTCTTAAATGAATAAGATAATTTAAAAATGTTATATTTATATTTTTCCCTTTTATTTTTAAAATACTTGCTAAAATGCATTGAATTCTGGTAGTTTTAAAGACTAAAACCTAGAGAAGTATTTTTGCAACTTTTGATGTAAAAACGATTATATTATAAAATTCTTACATTAAGAATAAATAACTGATTTTTTAAGTGCAACCCTTCATGTAAAACAAAAAAAATATGCTGTCCATATTTTAATTTCAACTCTCGACAGGGATTTTATATACAAGTATCGTTGAGAAAAAATACATTAAATTTGTTCTCAGTGCCTCCTAAAAATCTTTTTTTTGTTTTAGTGTATAGAGGGTCTTTAACAATTTCTCACTGTTTAATCCGGGGAGACTGAATTCAATCTGTATCAAACTTGAAGTAAAGAAATCAGGGAAAAAAACAAATGTTGAGCAGTCATACATGTTTATAGTATCAGGAACCTATATACTAGTATATATCACTGATAGTCGAATTCGATACTTACTTGTAGTTTCTGTCCGTAATGGTGTAACTGTGCATTTACTGAATACATACGTCACTGATCCTAGAATTATCCCCAAAACTGCTAAACGTAACATCATAGGTATTCAAAGCGATTGTAAAAGTGGATTTAATTCTTTTAAGATCCGCGAACTTCTCTGGAGTGTACAGCCCTAGTTCGTATACATGATGCTAACTCGACAGAGAAGTACTTTCATTTAATTGCCGACAATATATATCCATGACTTTTTACTTGTACAACATCCATAAAAAACATTACCTGGATACACAGCAAATAGTAAATTATTTTTACTCCTGTCTGTCGAACACGGGCCAATTAATTACGGGGACTTAATGGTACCTGTCACTGAGACAAATGTGGACTATCGCAACGCTCAGCTTGTCTACTCGGGTGTTAAATAGCGGCGGGACAGTACCTCAACGGCTGTGTGATTGATCTTTCGTTCAAAATTTCCAGACAAATGGAAGCATTTCTGCAGTTAGTGAAAACATACGTGTTCTTTATAATTTCTATTAATGTTTGCGTGGAATATATTGGCAGTATATATGAGTTTATATATTCAGTAAAATCAAGGTTAAAAAGTTTTGCGAATATTTTTTTTTATTTGAAAAGATGCATAAATAATTACAGTGATCCTATTTCAATGTCTTCAGTTTCATTCTAGCTATTCCAATACTGACTATTTAAGAAATTATTTTATTAATTGTATATAATAAATTGGATAAAACACATGTAGTTGTCGATTAATCAGTTATTACGCCATAAGAACCGTGTTAATTGTCTTGTAACGGGCTGTTGGTTTAGGTACACGTGTATATGGTAATAATTCATGATAATAATGGTCACGTAAAGTTGCATAAGTTTTCCCAGCGATAGTCACTTGCGTTTTGGCCATGTATATAAGGTACTGAATGGACAAGATCAAGGAACATTCTTATTATAAACCAATAAGTGTATGGTATATCTGTACTTTTTGCAATTGGATTGTTTTTAAGCAAGTTCTTGTGTTGGAATGGTACAATGAACTTTTTTTTCTCTCTCCAAAATTAAAGGAAAACCCCGTTTATAATTTTTTAAAAGTACATTGACCTTTATTTTATGAAGTAAATATTGTTAAAAAATTTTTTCTTCTTTCAATTCATGATGCAAAAGGACAATATAATCAAAGAGGTATTTGGCTACTCTGCTCACATGTGACATCATTCAGTGTGCAAAACATCAGTAACTGAAGTTTTGTCGTTCATCACAGAAAATCAGAAAATGTAGAATAGTTCAAATCAGTTATCTGGCGAAAAAAGTCCTTTTTTTAAAAAAAATAAAGAGAATCCTCAACTACTTTATAATCAACTGTCGCAGATTTTCAGCATCGTCGGAACCCGTGAGGTCTCTGCACTTCATCCAATGAACGATTGAATACGGAGAGAACCCGTAGGTGTTCATATACTGAAGTAAACCTGTCAGTGTAAACCCTATCAGTGTAAAACAGAAACAGATCATAGACACCGACATGTCCTAGATTCAAAGATTAAGATACAGGGGTAGATCTAAAGGGGGGGGGGTCAGAACTCCCCTAAAATTTTCAGAGGTATTAAATGACTTCCTCCCTCCCCTTCTTCGCCGTAGGAAACACGGATCCCTATTTAAAAGACAGTATGTCATGTGTTTGAAAAGAAAAATGATTTAGGAGAAAGTCGATCTTGCCCCATCTCCAACAAAACCCAGTTTTCAGGTTTGAGCATTTTTTGTTGTTGTTGTTTTTGTTTTAATTTGGATTTTAAAAAATTCGAGTCTGACATGGAACCACCCAATCAGTAATATTCTGTTTAGAATATATGGAAAACTTGGAAGGCCAGTAGTGGACCCAAGCATATCCGGAAAGAAGAGATAAGATTTAATAAGATGCTACTGTTCGCGTTGAGTTGATTGTATAAGTAGCATTAAATTTAATTCATGAATGTATGAAATATAAGAATGAAAGCACGAACTGCGATTTTTTTTTAACTGAAAAATACACATGCTAAATAGTAGAAGAATATCTGGCAGGAAAATAACGAATCATATCGGGGAAATAAATGCCATTAATGTCATCTGAATTTCCAGGTAAGAAGGTACATGTATATCTTATTTACTGCTCACCTGTTGAGAAATTTTAGCCACGTACATAACCGAAGTTATTGTCGATATTGTCTGTTGCGCTGAGAAAAGAGGGTGTGTGGTGGGGTAGGGAATGGGGGTGCAATGTAGGTTGAAAGTAATAAGTAATATACATGTAAGTAGTCAGGTATATAATCAGGAAGGGTTCCTTGTAACCTGAAGATCATGGGTAAGCTCTAAGTAACATCCTATCATTGCCTTCAGCATTTCTCTATGCTTACAATGACCTTTGAACCTGATTCAATTTTGAGGTCAGACGTCTCAATAAGCAAGATAATGTCCTATAAAGTGATTAAAAAAATGCATAGATTTATAGGGGAGATGAATAAAGGAAGAAACATTATAAAAAGTTTATTATTTCTTTTAAAAGTAATGGGATAAAGAATTTATTTCACTTTCACACTTTAAGAAAATATACAATTTGATATTTTTTTCACACTGTGACAAAATACCACTTTTATTCAATAACTACATTGTATATATGCATCGTTTGCAACCAAAATATCCAATTTATTGCTTGTGGTATGTATTCCAAGTTTAAATTTGATATTTTTCATTGATCGTAAAATAAATAAATAAATAAATAAATAAATAAATAAAATAAAATAATAAAATAAAATAAAATAAAATAATTAAAATAAAATAAAATAAAATAATAAATAAATAAAATAAAATAAAATAAGAGTAAAAAAGTGCCACAGAGTTGCGAAAATAATAGCATTTTCATCGGGATCGAAATTCTGTATCACTTGTCAAATGAAGAAATATCATTATGATTATAAGAGGTTAAAAGAAAATGAATCAGCCTCCCTTCACGATCAGAATACGGACGGAACAGGAACAGGACATGGACTGGATGGTTCAGCCGAATGCGATTACATTTCATCAGGCATTGGTTTGTCATTTCTTAATAAGTTTTTTTTAGTTGTATTTCGAATTTCCTCGAGATTCTATACTCGAGGGTTTTACATTACATAGTTCACTCTAAACTGAAAAGATTATTATTTTTTTTTTTAATTTTAACTTGGAATGCATATCAACAGCCTTTTTTATAATCATAAAATTCATATTCTAAAAGTCCGTAAAAAGGTTAAATTATTAAACTGGTTCGCATTAAACATTATCAGATTATTATTTTTCATGCAACCACAAATTTTAAAAGCATGACTCCTCGACTTGGCTTGTTTTATAGAATCTAGTGGATTTTTCACGAGACAACAATTCTAATAACTTGGCAAACAGGTCTGGTGTTTTTCATTGCAAAGTCAATAAACAAGACAAAAAAGCTTGCATGCAGGCGATTTCTATTTTGCAGGGGTTCGTTGATTTCAGATTATTGTTACCTAGGCTATAGTGCATGCTGTTCAAAAAAGCACCTTTGAAGAATAATACATGCAACTTCGAACAAAAAGAACATAATTTCAAAGAAGACATGAATAATTGTGTATCCTATAGCTGTTGAAGTCGGCCACCGTTGAAGTCAGATAAACATTTAATATTTAATATTCATAATTCTGCATGTTCTGTTTGGGAAAAAAAAAAGAATAGCATAAATGCTAGTGACAGAACTGCTTAAAGTATTAACATTTTTGGTAAGAATATTATCATATAATTTAATTTTGTTTGTATTCTAGCCTCTGATTGGATAATATCCAAAAAGGAACACAAATTATTTCTGTATAACCTGGTTTGGTATGGGGACACCCCCCCCGACAACCATCTGAATCATCTGTATCCATACAATCCTCTCATTTCCAGTCCTCGGGATTCGTGGAAAATTCCAGATTTAATAAATGTACCTTTAACTTAACCATGTTAACAATAATTCGATCTTACCACATGTAAACAAACAACAAGGCTGCCGCTAGGCCTATGCATCAGTTTTTACCTCCCCTCGCTTCCCATCACTTCCGTTACTATGGTTGTATTATTGAGCTGCAAATTTGAACTAATAAAAAGCAACGAAATTCTACACCCTTAGTTATTTAATGATTTTAAAATTAAATTATAAGGAATGACTCTAATTCTTGGCCAAATTATTCGAGTATTCGCGGATTATAAAGCATAAACTGACCCAAACCAGGTTATACTCGAATAATTTGGCCAAGAATAAGAGTCATTCCTAAAATATATTCTTTAAAAAACGTATAATCTACAGGTACTTACGGTATATGTATATTAAAACTAATGATGTATTTCACTGTTATGTGAATAATAGTTAATACTCTTGATATGATCACAATGATTTATACATTACAGGAGGTGATAGCACAAGTTTTACCTCAGACAAGTGTCACAGCGTTTGAATGTGCGTATTCAATAGAACTTCTTGATAAATATATTTTACTAATACTATGAGTTCATTGAGTTGCTAAATATTAGGGCTGGGTATTGGCTAGAGATTTTGTATTGCGATATTTTTAACTGTATTGCAGTATGCAATGCAATATTTTCAACAAAAATTTTAAATGGTATTTTCATATTATATTAACTTCCTTTTACATGTAGAATGTACATAACTATGATAAATAACCAATAAAAGATATCTTGTTGATTGAATTAGAGAACTTTATGCAAACACTAAACATGCTAAATACACCCATACAACAGGTTTTGTTTTACTGTTTGGCAAATATGATTGCAAACCTTTATGACAACTTTTCTTAATATTTTATGATAGAATTGCCAAGTCCAAGCATTTTGCTGGTATATCAGTATTGCAAAAATGTATCACAGTATGATATTTTTTGTCAACATACCGCAATATACCGGAATATCGGTCCAGCCCTACTAGATATCATATAAGATAACATAATGTTTGACAGTTTTATGTGCTGTACTGCCATGTATCTTCTGTGCTACAGCTAAGTGAGAATTTTCCACCTATATGATCAAGTTGACTCCATTACATGGGGAACCAGGAGTGTAAATCTTATTTTCCTCTTGTAGATGAGGACGAAGACAATGAACGGATAACAGTACGGAGTGATGAAGAAATGGCAGCAATGTTTCAAGCTGTATGATTTTATTTTCCTTATACAAATGCTTTTGAATTGTTTAATCAATTAGATAGCAAAGTACATGTGCACACATGTACATTGTAGTTATAAACGTGCTGAAAATAGCATGTGGTAGTTACATAATATTTTGCCCCATGTTTATGATGTCATCAAAGAAAAGAGATATGAAACCCGGGAAACTCTTTGGGCTACTGTTAACAGTAGGTAACGGAGCCCATATTACTTGATGCCATGGACCATGCATTTCCTGCATGGGCAGAACCATGGCAGATGTGTATTAAAGCCAGAGGGGCCAACTTTAAAAAGGAATTAACACTGAAATACAATTTGAATTCTTCCGTGTAAGTTACTGAACTAGTTTAAAAACTTTCTGATCACCCCTCATATAAAATGGTACACTGTACATGTATATCTTTTATTTCAGTACTTTGACTTTGAGTTTGAGACCCTCAGTGAAATGATAAATATATATTTACACAATGGTATATATTGTGTTTCAGTACTTTGAGACTCTCAGTGAAATGATAAATATATATTTACACAATGGTATATATTGTGTTTCAGTACTTTGAGACCCTCAGTGAAATGATAAATATATATTTACACAATGGTATATATTGTGTTTCAGTACTTTGAGACTCTCAGTGAAATGATAAATATATATTTACACAATGGTTTATATTGTGTTTCAGTACTTTGAGACTCTCAGTGAAATGATAAATATATATTTACATAATGGTATATATTGTGTTTCAGTACTTTGAGACCCTCAGTGAAATGATAAATATATATTTACACAATGGTATATATTGTGTTTCAGTACTTTGAGACTCTCAGTGAAATGATGAATATATATACACAATGGTATATTGTATTTCAGTACTTTAAGACTCTCAGTGAAATGATAAATATATATACACAATGGTATATATTGTATTTCAGTACTTTGAGACTCTTAGTGAGGATGACATACAATGCGGGCTCCTTCCTCCCCTCATCATCTACCCCAGAGGTCAGTGTTAATAAACAGAGTATACCTGACATCACCATGATCACAACAGTGTTTAAGATTTTATAAGTGCATGTATAACATGAATAAATATATACACTAAATTTGATGCTCTTGTCTTTGAATTTTCAGTTGGAAAAACTCCACAAAACAGAAACAAATTTGGATTAAAGGTACATTTATATATAAAACAGTAATGATTTAACAAACATTTTAATTGGCTAATTCCTTGTCCAACTAATTTGGAGAGAATTTCCCTTTTTTTCTATTATAGATTGATACTCATCCAAATTCTAAGTCCTCCAAGCCAGTTCAAACTGTCAAGCATATTCCAAGGTATTGTGAAATAATATTCAGTCATCAAATGTTTCCTAGCCTAGTTGCAGTTTATATGGTTATCAGTCAGTAATTTGTCTGAATATCTTTATATCAGACAATTATGACAACTAATTGGTAATATTACATCCCATCTATTATATTTACCTATACAAATGCATGCATCCCTATTACATGTAGTTTACCCTATAGACATAGATTATTACATATGCAAATCAGACTGAAATAATGAGAATTCTTTGCATACATAAACTAAATATTTTAGTTTCATTGTAATCTGTGGTATTCAGATCTTTTCTGTGTCAAACATCGTAGAAGAAGTAAATTTGATGTATATGTACAAAGTTATTCTTTGCATTAATTTCATTATTGTTCAAACATATCAATTTATGGGAACAGGGCTTTGTTTTATAATTTATTTTCAAATGATTTTTTTTGAATTTAGACAAAATCAAAAACCAAAGACAGAGCCTGTTGAGAACCTAGCACCTACTCGGGTCCCCGTAAATGACCCTAATGTAGCTGGAGCCCCCACTATACTGGTTCCTCAGTCTCAGAACCAATCAGAGTTTCACTTACAAAATGAGCCTGACTTGAAGTTTTTACAGGTGCTTGGAGGAGGAAGTGGAGGACAGGTGTATAGGTAACTCAGGCTGTATTTGGTATATTAAACAAAATGATAATTATAAGATGCCTGTGACACTGGACATTTAGACAAAAGATATCAGTATACCCTATACATGTATGTGCAGTCTACTTTTTAGCTGCAGGCAACTGTTGGATTTACGTGTAAATTTGGAACAAATACTGACTGATGAAATGAAAATTATAGATAATCTTCTAAAGCTTATGAAAATTTGTATCGTCATATATGAAGAACTTTTTTTTCAATTTTTGTAGAGCTTTACATCAGCCAACAGGGACTGTTATGGCAGTCAAGGTAAGGAAAGGTTACAATGGAAAAGGTGACTGACAAGTCACCATACTGAGTGTAAGCAAAATATGTTACAATATGAATTGGAGCATTAAGGAACACAATGTCACACAAAAGTCAATGTCAGATCTATATTAGATATACATCTGATGAGGCCCAGGAACATGTCAATGTTAGGTAAAGGTAAGTAGCTTGGCACAATGCCAATGCAGGTAAAAAGCATGTATCAGTGCCAGGCAAGGTAAGAAATGTCACAGTGATAGAACAGTGTAAAAAAATATAATGTCAGGTGATGGGAAGAAACATGTCACATGATATAACAAACAGGTAAAGATTAGAATCATATGACAGTATCAGGTCTACATGTACGTGTAAGTAAGAAAGATCTCAAAATGACAGCTATATAAGAAACATATTAAATTCTAAGGTAATGTTTCATTTAATATCTGTTTCAAAATACTACCATTGTTCAGTCTTCTGTGCTGTTTTATAGATGGTGAAGTTGGAGGTTGATCAGAAGACACAAGAACAAATTTTATCTGAACTGGACATTCTCAATAAGGTGAATATATTACATACTGTATCTGAAGTTATTTTAGTTATTTGTTCATTTTCCATTACTGTTAAAATGTAACTTATGATCAATGCAGAATATATTTCCTGGATAAGTGTAAATACGTGTACACAGTATTCATATACCTATTTAATCACATTCACATTACTTCATGATTGTGCCAATGCAGGCCTGTAGGAAGCAAATTCAGTTTGGAGGGGGGGGGGGGGGGCACAGTCATACATTTTCAGTTGATAGTTGAGGAGGCACTAACAAAAATTTCCTGACAAGGAAAGAAAAAAAATACCAAAAATTCCTTGACAAGCCAAAAAAAAAAAAAAAAAAAAAAAGGTCATCAGATGTTTTTATTGAGGGGGCACAAACATATAGTATCTATGTTTACTAAAGTAATCTATATATATTGGCAAAATTATTGGGGGGCACAGCCCCCAGTGCCCCCCCTTCCGGTTCCTACGGCCATGCAATGTTTGAAGTTAAACTTTGGACACCAATATCTCGAATACCATGGATATGTCAAAGTGATTTGGAAGTCCCAACCCACTTATTTTATAAGTATTTTACCCTTGATATCTCGAATCTTGGATATCTCAATGTTTTTTTCTTGGTCCCATCAAGGTTGAGATAAAGAGGTTTGAATGTATTCCAGATTTGAATATTCATGAAGGTATGACCTTATACTTTACATCCAGGCATATTTCATGAGTGTAGAGGATATTCAATGTTTCATAGTTGGATACGGAATTTCACTAAGACGACAGTATTTTTACCTATATTTTCATGAGTGCTTGGCACTTGTGAAAATAAAAAAAAAATCTTGTCTCCTAAATGAAATAAATTCCATATCCAACTACAAAACATTGAATTCTCTGTTTATTACATTTGTCTTTGGTTTTTTTCTTTTTGCCTCTATCACCTATGAGCTGTCTGTGTATCGCAGTGGCATATAGGCTGTGCTGTCATACATGTAGCCGATTGGTTTTGAGATGCCATAGCAAAGCGATTGTAAAATTGAATATTGTAAAATGGATTGGCAGTGTCAGGATGGTTTATTCCCTCTTGCTATCTGTATGGGTTATTTTCTTTAAAACTCTTCATGCAGGGAAGGAAAGTTTTGCTGCAAATTTGTTATTTTCACTGTGTAAACACATCTGTGAAATATCAATTATATTCAATGGATTAATACAGTATTTACAGTATTGAAAATGTAATCTAGGAAAAGAGTTTGACTCCTTTTTGGTGCTGGATCCATTATGGTGTCATAATATTTCAAACTTGCTTTTTCTCGTACTTTACAGCTATCGTTAAATTATACAGGACGCATTTTCAAGGCATCAAATTTGAAATCATGTGAAAAGAAATCTGGACACCCATATTCAATCTATAAATATTATTTTAACAAAGAAGAATATACAGACTACCATTTTCTGAGAGAATGGGTACATTTCATTTTGTGTGAAATGGAAAAAAGTCCAAATTTTAAAACTGTTTCTTTCATTTCTCATTGAAAAATGACAGTTCAAAATAGGTTATTTTTGTGTTTACCAAACAAGTATGCCCCAATACACCTTTGTCCTTAATTATATGCTTTATTTGGGAATTAAGCATCATTAAAGAAATTCATTTCTCAGGTTTGAGAAAACTGCAGGCGCCTTTAATATACTAGATCTTGGCCTTAAAGTAGTGCCTTCTTACTGCAATATTATGTGTCATCAGTTGCAGTTCAATCGGAATCATTAAAAATTGACATGGTTGATAAATGTAACTTATTAAATAGTTGTTTGATTTCTTTTTAGTGCCAGTCCTCTGTCATAATAGGATTCTACAAAGCTTTTTTCAATGAAAACCGCATCTACATCTGCACAGAGTTTATGGATGGTAAATCATATAATACATTTGTACTAATCAACAAAATTCACACTTCAAAATTTGCAGTAAAACGAAATTTAGAGAACTGAGTATAAATCATTATGATACATATTTTTTGACAGTCAATACTTGTATTTCTTTAGTGGGAATTATCAGGAAAGAAGAGACTTCATCATAAGCTTTGTGATATATGTGTTTTACTGTACCAGTATTGGAAAATCTTAAAATATTTACAATTGTGTTGTGAAATTTTACATTCAGTAGATAATTAAAAAAAAATCATGAAGATCCTAAAGTTTCTTTTGCTCCTCTCATACATTGTATGTTATCTTTTTGCATACCTTCTCTGAGTAAAAAGATGTTTGTTTGTTTTTCAGGAGGTGCGTTAGATAAATATGCTCCAATTCCTGAACCAGTATTGGGACGAATGGCAGTAAATATAATTAAAGGCCTCTGCTACATGTGGAGCCTGAAAATTTTACACCGAGGTAGGTCTTTCAGGGGTCATATGAAATCAACGCACTAATAATATATACAACCATGCTCACACACTCACAAAACTAATGTAGTCATCACACTTGCAATATACAATCACACACTCCTATACTCATAAAACTAACACATATCACACTTGTATTATACAGTTACATGCTCATACACACACAGAACTATTACAGTCAACACAAATTGTAATATACAATCACATTGTCATACACTTACAAAACTAATATGGTCATCACAACCGTAATATTTAATACCACACTTTTAATGTACAAGGACTACACTTGTAATAGAATAGGAAGAAATTTAATGGCCATTTACAGAGTCAACTCTCAATCTGTTGAAAAAATACATAAAATTATCACTGAAAAAAGAGCTCTTACTTGGTAAAAGGATTGTTTATGTCCAGAGGGTGTGTCATGATCTTGACCCAAAATTTTGGCAAGTTTAAGGTTACTGGCAGTAAAGTATAAAATTCCTGACTGGTCTAAAATTTCTCAATTGCTTGCATGTATGAAATTGCTTATGACCTGAAGTTCATACAAAGATTGCTTATGACCTGAAGTTCACACAAAGATTGCTTATATATGACCTGAAGTGAGTCATGACTTTGATCCAAGGTTATTTGAGGAAGTTAAAGGCCACTTTTCAAAAAAAATGTTTAATTCCTATCTTGACCATATCTTGTAATAGAGAACATTAGAGGCTCATAATTATCAATAATATTACATATGACCTAAAGATATGTAAGGACTTTGACCAAATGTCATTACACAAGTTCAAGGTCACTGGTTGACAAAGTGTATTATTTTTGCCCAGTCTATAACTCTACAATGGAGACTAAGTGGAAGTTTTAAGACAAAAGATTGCTTGTGGCATAAGACTGTGTCATAATCTGACCCAAGATCTTTTGGCAAGTTCAAGCTTACTTGCAGAAAACTAATAAATTTGTGTCTGGTCTATAACTTCTGAATTGAAAAACATTGGAAGTTTATACTTCACACAATTATCTATATATCTTGATGGTGTATCATGACCTTGACTCAAGGCAATACACTGGATGAAATATAAAAGTATAAAATTGATGCCCAGTTCATCACTCTTGAATGGATAGTATTGGAAGTTGAAACATTAAACAAAGATTATTTGTGTTGAAGGTATAACATTACCTTGATCCAAGGTCATTGTGACATGTTCAAGGTTACTGGCAGAAAAAGTGTGCAAAATTCATATCAAGTCCATAATTTTCTAATGGAGAAACATTGGATGTCCACATTGCACTCAAAGACTATTTACTACTAAAGGATGTGTCACTCTTTTTAAACCAAATTCATTTTGGCAAGTTTAAGGTTACATTTAGAAAATTTATATGGGTTATTTTAAAAAAAATGCAGCAAGAGAATAACTTTATGAGGTGGTTCACATTACCTATAGTTTTCTCATACACTTCTTTTAACTTAAGAACCCTCTCTACACTGCACACTAGAGAGTTCTGATTCTGTGGTATTTTTATGTAGGTAGAGTAATCTGCCCTTAGATCTAAAATAAAATAAATTGAAATCTACAGTTTATCAATCAATTTCTAATCAATTCAAACATTCCTAACATTTTGATAGGCCAATATAAATTAACTGAGCACCTCATCTGCATGCTTTTTCCCTACTTAGGTAAGCAACAGTGATTTCTGTTCATGGGTGAATTAAAAAAAAATGACCACCAAACTGAATTTTTTTGGCAAAATTCAACTACTTATAACATATTTTTCACTTATATCATCATATTGCAAATGCATTCTAGTTTAAAATCCTGAAGTGGCAATAGAATAGACAATTGGATTAAAAAGTTTCAGAATTTTTATCAGTAAAATTTCTTATGAAAAAAGAAAATATCATTACACTTTAAAAGACTTTCTAAAATACATAATCACAAGAAATCATAGTTTCTTATGCTTCAAAATGGTAAAAGGGGTATAAATGATTAAATCAGGACCTTGAATGAGTATCTTCTCTTGTACATGTGACAAAAAACTGGCTTTTTGATTGTTATTTTACATTATTTTTTCAATTCTGGTTTGAAAAGTTTTAATATGAAAAAAATATGAAGCAATAAAATTCCCCAAAATTCACTTTTTTGTCCGTTCAAGTCAATTCTTTAAATCTAAGCCAAACAAGAATTGTTATATATGCGTTCTCTTACAAAAAATACTAGATTTTGAAGTGACCCTATGTTACATTATTGTGTTGCACTCCTGACATCTGATATGTATTTTATTTAACATTGTTTTAAAAATTATAACACACAATAACCCATTCTTACTTTGTAAATCAATTTGTCATGTTGATATTTTTCATCGTTTACAGCAGGTTTTTCATGTTTTGAAGACCTTAAAACATGATTATTTGAAAAGTGTAATATATATAAATTGTATTTAAAATATATGTGAAATGATGAAAACTATTCCATGAATTGACCGTAAAATTTCTGTAATTTGTTGATAGACATAGTGTTTTGAACATCAGATAGTATCAAGCATTTTTTTTCAACTTATTTTTTAGTAAAGATAGTTAAAAAGCATCGGTAATTATGAAGCAGTTTTGTTGCACTCCTGACTGCAGTAAAGCTTAAAATTAAAACCGTAGAACACAAAAATTCATAAAGTGTTGGCAACATCAAGTGGTAATGATATTGTGCAATACTTATAGTCCAATACTTCATAATTAAAACAGATGAAAGTATTTAAAATTCGCATTTTATCTGGAATTATACCCTATTTTATGCCAAAAACTAGCTTAAATGTATATTTAGAAGATAAAATATATTTTAAAGCATATTTTCCTTTAGAAGACAAACACAGTAACCCACCAGAAAAATTCTACTCGTCATTTTTTCTTTATTTTTATTCTTATTGGATGATTTATAATTCTAACATATTTATTGCACTCCTGACCAAAAGCATTGGGGCCTTTTTAAAGTAGAATTGTGAAGTGAAAATCACATAAGAACTTGCTCTGTTGTTTCAGTGAAGTTGAGGAGGAATTACTTCAATTTTTCTGACAATGTTTTAGTGTGTTTATTTTTAACGTTCATTAAAAAAATCACAAAAAGATAAAAACACATCTGAATTGATAAAATTGAAAAAGGAAGGATTTTAATAATAAAACTGTCAATAATTTAGTATTAAATTATACAAAAAGATCATTATTAATTAATGAATACTTCTAAGCATGAATAGAAGTCTTTTCATCACACAACTTGAATCTTTAAAAAAATGTGTTGCACTCCTGACCATAGAAATATGGATCTGAAGCACAGACAGATCCTGTAATTGATAAATCTATTTGGTAAAAATGTTTTTTATGTCTTTATTTTCCAAAATAAAAATCAGAAAATCATATAATGATAATAGTTTTTCAATGCTTGGGAGCAAAACATCAAATGTTGCACTCCTGACATTTTTGGGTATGTACATACACTTGACTTTCATTAATGCTGCTTGTGATTTATATAACATTTTTAAGTTTTAAAATGTATATCAGTTATTGTTTTACACTTCCAAAATTCTTTTTTGTCTTAATTTTCTTTCAGAATTTTACAATTGATGTTTTTTTGGCAACACTACATTTTTTCTGTTGCACTCCTGACATGGTATAACATTTTTTTAAACATCAGCCATGACCACAACTTGATTAAACAGAATTAAGTTATGACAGTCCACATTTAAAGCTCAATACTTTGAATATTATCAGGAAAGTCTTTATTTTTAACATGAAGCATTATTTTTTATTTCACAGATCTCCAAAAAATATTGAAATTTCAAAATGTCACAAAAAGGTGTTGCACTCCTGACAATTTTAGCATCATTTTTGGGCATAACTTTTTTGTTAATTGAGATATCAACGAGATATTTGGCAGGTATTTAGACACTATCTAAAGACATATGCTGAGACATAGAAATCTGTTTTCATTACCTGTATTTTTAGTGTGGGTTGATAAATATGCGTTTGGTCATTTTTTTTTTAATTCACCCTCATGTAAACTTTGTTGACTTTGAACATTTTTCCTGGGGGTAAAAGCCTGTCACCCTATGTTGAAAATGATATCAATAAGCTCAATGTTTATACCTTTATACAACATATTTTTCTCAATGTCCAAAAAACTTTTTTGTTGAGTGTAGAGAGGGTCCTTAATCAATTAAGCCATTGATTAACAAATGGCATATTTTGATTTTGGTCAGTATCGTTGCAGACATCAAGCCATCCAACATTTTAGTCAATACTCAGGGGCAGGTGAAATTGTGTGACTTTGGAGTCAGTACACAGGTAGGGACAGTATTTAAAGAAAATTGAAGATGTTTAAAACTGTGTACTATCATTAACTTTACCAAAATGTTTATAAGTCTATTACTGTAAAAAAAGTTTTACAAACAATATTGTCTTGCTGTTTTAACAATATTTGCATCTGTTAATTAATAAAAAAAACATGCAAATCATACCTGTGAACTATTAATTTAATCAAGTGAAAAATTGAAATGAATGTAGAATTTCCATAGGTTTCTTTGTTCTATGTGTATTTGCAGCTTGAGAGGTCCATTGCCAAAACCTATATAGGATCTAATGCATACATGGCAGTAAGTATCAGATTCATTTAGTTAGTTGTTGAACTATGGATTAAGCTGAATTATTTTGTACTTAAGGCTGTATTATTGACAGCCAAACTCAGTGAGTGGCAGTGTAGATACTATGTTTTGACAGTTTATGAGGTGTTAAGTATGTGTACTATAGAGGATTATATTATGTATGGTTGACTTTCAGCCTGAGAGGATAAAAGGCGAGGATTATGGGACACCAGCTGAAATCTGGAGTCTGGGCATCACATTGTTTGAGGTGGGTCTTTGATTTACATGTATAAGAACTCTTGTGTACTCAGATTCATTTTAAAGTAAAAATATTTTGAGCTACATGTATACATGTATATACACTGTTAAGACTAAATTTATTATCATTTTTCAGTTAGCTACAGGAAGATTTCCATACAAGCATGTGAGTAAATGGGGTTTTATTCACTTGACTGACAAAGTTGGATGGAAATTGAAATCACTTTATATAATTTTAATATCTGTACTGGTCTATTTTTATCCATAAGACTTAAGTTGCATCTTTCAATAATAAAAATGATTTTTTAAATTTTTATTTTTAGAATCCTGAGAAGGTAGGTCTTTTTTAAGTATTCATAAATACTGTATGTGTCCTAAGTGTAATAGGATTCTTGTTCAGGTATCCAGCATATAAAATATGGTATGGAGTAAAATTTGTTTTTGGCATAAAAATTCAGTTACATGTATGTGATTAGGCTTTTTCCTTTGTTATAATTTCCTTATACTCTGTTATTTTACAGCCAATGGGTCTCTTATCATCCATTATAAATGAAGTAAGTATGTTTGTGTTTTGTTGTAAAATTCAGAATGTTACATATTCTTTACTTACTTTCAAAATGCCTTAATAACTTTTGACACATGCAATAACAATAAAAATTTGGAATTTACATTTTTGTCATGCCTTTAATATGTTTGATTTCAAATTTTATCTAAAAGACAGCACATTTTTTATTTATGAAAGGATAGCTGTATTTACCTTATGTTATCAAAAGCATCAGAATATGAATGAATTCATTTTTCCATGTATATATGATCAAGCTGATTTGTCATTTTGGGAACAAAGATAGAAGAAATTTAATAAGTTCTTTGTCCTATAGGAGACTCCGCAGTTATCAGATGACCACTTCTCTCCAGACTTTGTCAATCTTGTGGCACACTGGTATGGTCATCTTTGAATTAATTTCTTTGTTTGATATTTACATTGCCTAATATTTAATTGATAATTTTATGTCGTTTCATGTTATGTGTAAATTGTGTTTGTTTTTAAAATTCATTGCAGTATGCAGCAGAAACCTGAGGACCGACTCACCTTAGAGGACATATCTGTAAGAAAACAGTCATTTTGATTTTTTTGAAAATACATTTTAAATACAATAATCCAGTGGGAAATCTTTATCAAGTTTCATTTATAGCAGCTATTAATATTTTTTAAAACTTTTCATAAATCATATTTCAGATTCATCCATTTATACAAAGACACAATGATGGAAACATAGCAGTGATTGCTTCCTGGGTTCAAAACAGACTGGAGGAGTTATCTCACAATAGAATGGCTTCATAGTATAAAGGGGACATCTCAAAGTGCACTTTATTTTCATATACTTAAACTAGTCATAATGGAAGAAAATATTGTGAATGTTTCTGTCTAGTACAGTGCTATAAATAGTATTTTGACAGGCAAATTTAGATTTCAACTCCAGTCTTTACCAAAACCCACAGGTCTGAGGCCAGTGGCCAGTAAAATTGGCAGGGGGCCCGTAAAGTTGAAAATTTAATAAGTCCGATGGGCCTGCAGGGATTTTTATGACCCGACTCCCAATGATATAAAGAATTGTATTTCTCCCCATATATTTGTTTAAAAGTTTCAAACCAATGAAAAATCAAAGCAGTATGACTGTATTTTTCAGACGTCATCTTCATTTAAACTATTTTGCAAATGCTACACAATTTATTTCTTCAAACAATTGTCTTTTTTCTTAGTCCAAATTTCCTTCATGCCTCTGTTCATTCTAAATACAAAGAGATAATACCACTACATTTATATTCCCTGTTCCCTATTGAATTGAGGAGTCAGTGGTTTAGGAGTGATTTCAGATACAAAAAATATGTTTACAGAGCATTACAAGTATTTAATACAAGAAAAATGAGAATTGTGTCGATCACCTCACTTCGGAAGAGCTAGTCTCCTGCAGATTGCTTTTATAACAACAGCAATTTTATAGATTGCCTGTAGGTTTCATTGACTGGCAGGTCCTACAGGCCAGTGGAGGAATACAGTTTTCTTAAAGACTGCAACACAGTCTAATCAAATGTCAACCAAAAGATTTTTATTGCCATTTTATTTAATTCATTTGAGTTGATCATGGTTATGTTATGTATTTTATATTTATTTAGTGAATAAAACGTTTGAAATAAGAACTTAATGAATTATATCATACTACATCTTTTTCAGATTTCCTCATATTTACTTCTTTGAATTATTACGTTAGTTCCAGTCTGCAGCTGATGGAGCTGTAATCCTTCGGCATCAGCATCCCAAGTTCTTTCCAAGTATTTCTTTGCTCTACATTGATCAGAGTTGCTTGGATGATGCATCCAATATGTTTCATTATACCGTAACTATAGTCCTGCTGGACATATTATAACTGGTGACGTAAATAAAGTTAATAATGAGGACCTTAGATCACTAATTTTAAAAGGTCTTAAATATAGGGAACCCCGATCCTTTAACTGGCATAGTAATTTCATACACATATTATGGATTCTGTAGAGGATTATGCCAGGCGTTGGGTCAGACATGAAAAAGAAGACCGTAACACTTTGTCAGAATGGATTAAATGTATCAGATATATGTTAAAAATCTCGCATTAAACGACTGAGGGGCAGTATGAAAACATCTATCCTTCTGTATTCAATAATTCAGAAGTGAAAAAAGATAGATCACACGATCAGTACGTACTGGTCCCTGCTGACAAAACAGGTAACAACATTGTCTTTGTGTGTAAGGCTCATTATATAAATTGTATTTTAGAGGAACTGGGATTTAATTCTACAAGTGGAAATCCAACTTATACCCATAGCTCATTTCTAAGGAGCAATTTCTTCAAAGTCATATGTCAGTTTTGAATATTTTTAATATTCCCAACAACCAAAATGAATTCGAATTACAATATCTATATTGGATTCCGAAACTTTATAAAAATCCTTACAAACAAAGATACATAGCAGGTTCCAGTAAATGTTCTACCAAGCCTCTTTCTTTACTCCTCACTAAGATATTAACAGTAGTGAAGGAGAAACTTCAAGAGTACTGTGCAACAATATTCGAGAAGTGGTGTAAATCAGATGTGGATACTAAAAAATTCCAAGGAACTTTTGGAACATTTGAAATCACAGAATTTTACCAAAATCAACAACATAAAAACTTACGACTTTTCAACTTCATATACAACTATTCCCCACGATAAAGTCCAGACTTTCTGACATCGTTGACAACTGCTTTTTCAATAAAAATGCAACTCGTAAATTTACTTAACCTTGTCATTGGTCATTTGCAAAATTACTTTGTTAAAAAACAATCTGATTGTACACACAAGTACTCTGAAGTTGACATTAAAAAGATGCTCGAGTTTCTGATTGACAATATCTATGTGGTTTTTGGAGACCAGGTCTTCCAACAATCTATTGGAATTCCCATGGGTACCAACTGCGCCCCGTTATTAGCAGACCTATTCTTGTATTCCTATGAAGCAGAATTTGTTCAAAATCTTTTACGTGAAAAGAAGAAAAAACTTGCTGTGGCCTTCAACTCGACATTTAGATATATCGACGACGTATTGTCAATTAACAATGGTTATTTCCATTCTTATGTCGACACGATATATCCCGGTGAGCTTGAGATAAAAGATACCACAGAGTCTGACATATCTGTTTCATATTTGGATATTTTATTAGAAAAAGACGTTAAAGCTTTATGATAAACGTGATGACTTTAACTTTTCAATCGTCAACTTCCCTTACTTATGCAGCAATATACCCTTATCACCTGCATACAGGGTTTATATCTCTCAGTTGATTCGATACGCCAGAGCATGCTCTACGTATGAACAATTTCTAAAACGAGGTAAGTTATTGACAAACAAGTTGATGAAACAAAAATATCAGCAGTCTCGTTTAAAGTCATCATTTCATAAGTTCTATGGTCGATACAATGACCTTGTCAGCAAATACAGTCTATCATTAAGTCAAATGCTGACTGACTTTTCTCATACTAATTGTTAGGTCATTATTTACATACTGAATTGTCGACGGATTTTTCCGTTATTTCCCGATCATGACATGGAGCACACGGCGGGTGTAAACTTGCATGGATGATGCATATAGGGATGCATGCATGTATTAAAATTAAGTCATACTTCGTGAAAGTGCAAGGATGTGTGTCAATCAAACGCGTCCTAAAAATTGTAGTTTTCAAGGGTTTCATATTACAGAAGTTTGTAAATGCGCTTTTATAATAAATCGGTCTGAAATGCTCTAGGAACATGTAATCATGATATAATACAATTTTTTTTTTTTTTTTTTTAGAAAATATTAATATCAAATCTGTGTCCAAGTCCCTTTAAGAAAAAATGATATTTTCACATCCAGCAAACTCAAGTTCCTATTGATCAATTTCATTTACTTTAGAAATTTCTTTAAACTTTTTGTTGTTTTAAAATGTGATCTAAATTTATTATTCTGTTGGAAATTTGCAAAGCAAAATATATAAGTTTTTCCTACGCTTCCAATTTTACCAACTCAAGGAAATACGAGGATATCGAACAGTAACCAGGCCCAAAAAGCCAATGAAACAATGTAAATTGTGAGCAAAACAATCACGGACTGCTGAAAACGTCAGAGGAAGGATCAGGTACCATGAAGGAGAAAGCATCCCCTGTCGACCTGTCACACCTGACGTGTGCTTCTTTGCCATGATCGGGGAAACGGAGAAATCTGTAGTCAATTCAATTTGAAAATAATTGCCAATTTGTAAGATAGACCTTGAGGTCACCATTGAACCTTACATGTTTGCAAACAAGGTCATTGTATTGACCATAGAAAATTGATAAATGTTCACTTTTAACGAGATTTTAGATAACTGTTGTATCATCAACTTATTTGTCTGTAGTTTACCTCGTTTTTGTTCATATAAAGAACATACTCTTGCTTATCGAATCAACCGAGGAAAATTAAGCCCATATGTAAGTGATATTGGTATATTGCTAAATAGGTAAAGGAAGTTGACGATAGAAAAGTTGAAGTTAACACGTTTATCATAAAAGTTGTTAGTTTGCTCTCAATGTCTTTCTCTAGAAAAATATCCAAATACGAAAAAGATGTGTCCGACCTTTTGATCTCTTTTATTTCGAGTTCGTTCATTGAGATATGTCGAATCAAAGTATGAATGAAATCTTTTAAAATATGTATGAAAATTTTGACCAGGAGAAAAGCAAGTGAATAGAAAGTAATTTTTTAACAGAGTTTGCTTGAGTTTCTGATTGACTATATCTATGTGGTTTTTGGAGACCAGGTCCCAGGATCATGAAACAAACTTAGACTTCAGTCAAATTTTCAATCACCTTTAAAATGTTTCGTAATTGTCAACTTAATCTCAAAATTTGCAGATAAAAACACTTTTGTAAAGCAATATTGAAAAATATTTTAAGGTCTGCTTGACTCCTATAACATTTTAGAACAATATGAAGATTTTTTACTTAAGCCTAAGGTGTTTCATGATCCCGGGGCCTTGTCTTCCAACAAGGTAATGTTGGAATTTCCATGGGTACCAATTGTGCCCCCGTTGTTAGCAGACTTATTTTTGTATTCATATGAAGCAGAATTTATTCAAAATCTTATACACGAGAAAAAGAAATCTCTTGCTGTGGCCTTCAACTCGATGTTTAGATATATTTTTAAATTTTATTTATTTTGCACAATTTATAAAGCGCTAAATATACTATAAAATTACTATAAAGCGCTGTACATAAAAACATTTATAGACATAAAAACATAAAAATTACAAATACTAGGACTTAAAAATACATGTTGTAACCCTTAAGAATATACATAAATATATAAATACTTTAAAAAGGACTAGGTATGTTTACATGTAAAAATGCTGTGCTGTCCCTTGTTAAAAGATAATTAAAAAAAAGATGAGGAACTTTAAAAATAAACACTTAAGAATAATCTGGATATACAATAGTAAATAGGTAAGTTTTTAATATTTTTTTTTTAAAACGAATAAAATTCCTCTCAAATCTCAAGTTTTGAAGTAGACTGTTCCACAATGTTGCACTAGCCACATCGAACCGCCTGTGACCATATAATTTAGCGCACGCGACTGAACAAGGATAAGAGTTCTTTGAGTGTAAGGATCTACTTCACTTGGCGTGTAAACCTGAACCAGTTCTTGTATATATAATGGCGATGTTCCGTTTAAGGCTTTAAAGGTGCATAGACACAGATTTGAAGTTTATATTTTCTCAAATTTTATGATAATATCACAACTTATATATTGCTATAGCATTTCACACGAAAATAAAATTAATAACTTATTTAATCTGGAAATTATTGAAAGTACGAATTTCGGGAGGCGTTTGATTAACACATCCTTGCGCTTTCACAATTTTTAATTTTATCCTTAATACTTAAGAAAAGTAGCAATTTTGTTGTGTATTAATGAATAATATTACATCTATAATCTAGAAAATTCAGAGTAAAAATGTGCGAAAGCAAAACCCACTCACTTAAGTATTGTCAGCCCGTGCCCAGTGTTGTGTAGTTGTGTACAGAGTTAAACAAATTGAATACACCCGTGAAACGTAAACTGTTTTTGTAAGCAGGGCACGAGCTCTGTTGTTCTTAATGTTTACGTTTCACCGGGTGTGTTCAATTGTTAAACTCTGCACACACCACTGAGCACGGACTGACAATACTGGTGAGAGGATTTTGCTTTCTACATTTCTACTATGAAATTTCTGCATTATAGTTTTGATATTTTTCATTAATAATCAACAAAATTGCTACTTTTCTAAAGTAATAAGGATAAAGTTAAAATTTGTGAAAGTGCAAAGTTGTTTCTATCAAACGCGTCCAGAAATTAGAAGTTTCAATAACTTCCAGATCAAATAAGACCTTTATCAAATTTTCATATGAAATGCTATAGCAACATATAACTCATGAAATTATACAGAAAATTTGAGTAAATATTAACTTCAAATCTGTGTCTAAGCACCTTTAAAAGTCTGTAGAAGCAGCTTGTACTGGATTGGCTTATCTACGGGGAGCCAGTGCAGGTTGACTAACACGGGTGTTATGTGATCATATTTCTTTGTATGTGTAATAAATGATCCTGGCGGCTGTGTTTTGAATCCATTGAAGTCTAGCCAAGAAGCTGGTACATATACTGTAAGGTAAGGCTTTGCTACAATCTAAATGAGAGTCACAAGTGAACATACAAGGGTCTTACAAGCACGACGTTTGCCTATCCGATATTAATATATATATATATATATTATTAATATATATATATATATATATATATATATATATATATATATATATATATATATATATATATATATATATATATATATATATATATATATATATATATATATATATATATATATATATATCGACGACGTATTATCATCAATTAATTAGTCCCCTAGCGGTGAAACCGGAGGGGACTATAGGTTTCCTCTGAGTCTGTCTGTCCATCTGTCTGTCTTTTAGTCTGTCCCACCTGGTTTTCCGCACTTTTTTTTCTAAACGCTTGCAGATATTGAGCTGATTTTTGGTATGTGAGTGTATCTTGATGAGTTATAGATCAAGTTACATTTCTTTCTGCTTCAATGATTTTTGACGGAATTATGACCTTTTCTATTTTTCAGGTTTTCTGCAATTTTTTTCTAAACTCTTGCAGATATTGAGCTGATTTTTGGCTTGTGACTTAACCTTGATGAGTTATAGATCAAGTTCGCATTTCGTACCGCTTCATTGATTTTTGACGGAATTATGGCATTTTCAATTTTTAGCGGGAACCAGATTATTCTTGCTGGTAGGGGACTAGTATTGCTAATGCAATACTCTCAGAATGCTTGCTTTAGTTATTTCCATACATATGTCGACAATATATATCCCAGTGAGCTTGAAATAAAAGATACCATAGAGTCTGACACATCTGTTTCATATTTGGATATTTTACTAGAAAAAGACATCAATAGTAATTTAACAAAAAAGCTTTATGATAAACGTGATGACTATAGCTTCTCAATCGTCAACTTCCCTTACTTGTGCAGCAATGTACCCTTGTCGTCTGTATATTTGTAGTATATCTCTCAGTTAGTTCGATGCGCAAGAGCACGCTCCACGTATGAACAATTCCTAAAACGAGGTAGCTTTTTGAGAAACAAGTTGATGAAAGTCTCGTTTGAGGTCATCATTTTGCAAGTTCTATGGTCGATATAATGACCTTGTCAGTAAATACAATCTATCATTAAGTCATATGCTGGCTGACGTTTTTCATACTAATTGTTAGGCCATTATTTACACACTGAATTGTCGGAATTTTTCCTTTATTTACCGATCATGGCAAGAGGCACACGGCGGGTGTGACCGGTTGGCAGGGGATGCTCACTCCTCCATGAAGCCTGATCCCACCTCTGATGTTTTTGGAGGTCCGTGTTTGCCCTGCTCCCGATTTGTATTGTTTTGATGGACTTTGGGCTTGGATACTGTCCATTATCTCCATATTTAAATTTGACAATACTGTTCTGGTTGGATTTTCGAAGTTTTTCTCATTAATACCAAGAAAAAGAAATGTATTTAACAGTTTAACGCAGAAACTTGATATTTTATTCATGACTTGTATATAAGGAAGGTGAGAGACATGTTCAGAATATACGTAGAAAGCAGAAAGTTCAGTATAATGCGATAAGGAAGAAAAGGAGGAGAAATTTGTGATTTACGACAAAAAATATTTAATCAAAAAGTTTAGTTTGTTTTATTTTGATTTCTTGCTAGTGTGCTTCCTCAACATCATGGTTGTTCTTTTCAGGGAATAACTATACCCTTTCCAATGATACCACACGATACCATGTGTTTTTGTGGCGATAGTAGGATTCCTATAATAAAACCCATTAAGGTGACTATAATGACAGCCAGTAAACCACCATGCGCCTTTGACTCTCACTGCGCAGTTGTCTCTACTCGAATCTTGATCCCGATCATAGGTTGTAAACTTGATACCTTGTGCAAAGGCCATCGAATCTCCTGTTAATATTACAATGACAGTGTTTCATTAAAAAATATATATATGTATCATTGTCATGTGACTTCATGGTTTTAGAAAAATTAATGAAAATATGACAGACCCAGAAAAAACCCCCATACATAAGGCCATACGATGAAAAATCATTCCTTTGTCAAAAGATACTACACAATCGTTATACACACCATTCTGTAAACAAACCATCTATCGCTTAAAAATAAAGGTCTTCCATACTTATAAAAACAAACGCATAATAGACCTATTTTAAAGACTGAGGGGTGTCCAGCCACTTAATAATTACATATCAATAAACTGCTATGAGATTGGAGCCAGAAGGACTAAGCATCCCCTGTAAATCATTCGCATCTACTGTGAGACCTCTGTATAGATCAGGTAAACGGAGTAGTAATCAAACTGGTGTAAAACAATGGGCTAACAATAGGTTGGAAACACGCCAGTCATAATGCAGTCCAACGACAGGTTGAAAATTTAAACAAGGTCATTATAATGACCTTAGAATTTGTGAAATGCTGAAATATAAACGAGATATTTGACAACCCTGTAAAGAAATTTGTTTTGTCAGTAGCCTGTCTCTGTTTAAAAATTGATCATACTTGAAACATGCTCTTAGGCACCGAATCAGTAAAGAGACATAAACACCATATGCAGATGATAGTGGAAGTTTACGATACGAATAGGGAAAGATGACGATGAAAAAGCGGAAGTTATCCCGTTTATCGTATAATTTAGTTGATAGAAATGGAGATTAACGTCTATAGTCAGTGAAACATCCAAGTATGAAACAGATGTGGCAGACTGTGGTGTCGTTTATTTCGAGTCACTGGGATATATCAAGTTGACATATGAATAACTTGTTAATTGACAAAACGTTATAGAAATAACGAAGCCACAGCAGGAAGGTTTTTTAATCTTGCTTTCTATGAATATAATGTAACGGTTGATTTTGCGCATACTAAAAGAACACGAAACGAGCACCATACTTTATTAAACCGATTGTCTATTTATAGAGTTTCTGTCCTTGCGCCAGGTATTTAATTTTATTTAGAGATTATATTATTAAAAACTTTATAAAAATTCTATTTGAATATTAATTTAGTTGTTATCTATTTTTAATTAATTTTCAGTGCAGTGATTTGAATTTATTATTTTGTTGAGTAAATCTCTAAGATTTAAACTGGTTTGTCAAGTTATCTATTAATACTCACTGTGCTGACGCCCCCGTTATGAACTGAACGTGTTCGATTGAGTTTGAGAGTGATGCGTGTTACGGTAAGAATGTTTGTTAATCTTGTGTTTTATTAAACTTGAATTATACTAATTATTATATCTTTTTATCGTTAATATAATAAATACCGGTAATTCTGTTTATTTAAATGTAGACACCACACGCGCAGTAAAAGTACGAGTGAGTGACTGGGTGTGGCATTGCCATATTTTGGTGGTATGTGTTCGTTTGAATTTAAATTCATATACTGATTAATTCTTTTATTTTTGTTTGTGTGTTCTATTGGTAATGTGTGTATATATTTTTGCTTGTTTGTAGCTCATTGCCAATTTGATAATTTAATTCAAAATAAAGAACCATAAAAAAGAACTTGACTTTAGTCGTTACAATAAAAAGCAAGTCAGCTAATAGAAGAACACAGTAAGTGCCCATCGGAATTCCATCAAATGGTTGGAAGATATTGTCTTCAAAGCCTCCATACACGTATTATCAATGAGAAACACGTTTTTTAAAATATCAACATCAGAGTACTTGTGTACAAAATCAGAATGATTTAATGTTTATCAATACTCTAATAAGAGAGATAACTCTTAATGACATAAATGTCTATTATCCCTCTATAAATTTGTCAAGTTGAATTGTCTTTTTTCCAATTTTGCCCCGCAAGTTATGCTTTAATTGTTTGTATTTTATTTAACAAAATATATTTCTTTTGGAAAATCATAAGAGTTAAAGAAACATTTCATATATGTGAGGAGAGGGTTTACGAACCTTAAGCAAGGGAATTTGTTAATTATCAATCACAAGATAAGTGAATTTATGAGTTCCATTTTTTATAGGAGAAGCAGTAGTTTATGATGCCCGAAAGCCTAGTCTTTAATTCGACATGAGGAATGGTTGTATATCGCGTTGAAATGTCATACATTTTGATGTTTTGGATTTCTGAGAAAAAAATGTACTTTCCAAAAGTTGAGAATCCATATTTGATTTACATCACTCCTTGAATATGTTAAATATTTTTAAAAAATATATTACTAGTAGATCGTAATTAACAAAAAATATAAATATTAAAAATAAACTTATATATAGTTATAATAAGGTCGGCGAGTAGGAAGGATTGTTATTTGAAGTGAATGCATCTTCAACACATCTCCAAAGCACGACCCATCAATACTTCTAATAAAGGAATTAATTTAAAGAAAAAAAATCTTATTTTCTTCATGATTTATCTTCAAGGAAGGTGAGAGACATTAACACAGGCATACATAGAGTATTTAACAGTAAGAAGAAAGTTTACAATGATAAAGGGAAATAAAAGCGCTCTTTGTGAAATATAAAAATAAAACTTTTTTTTTAGGTTCTTAACTATAATTTCTTGCTAGTGTGCTTTCTCAGCATCATGGTTGTACTTTTCAGAGAATACTTATGCCCCTTCCAGTGATACCACACGATACCGATACCCTGTTTGTTCGTGGTAGGATTCCTATAATAAAACCCATTAAGGTGACTATGATGACAATTAGTAAACCACCAAGCGCCTTTGAGTATCTTTGCACAGTTGTCTCTGTACGAATCTTGATCCCGATCATTGGTTGAAAACTTGACACCTTGTGCAAAAGCCATTGCATCCCCTGTTAACATTACAATAGTATATGTATACAATGACTTACTAATTCATTTTAGTCCAGTCAATTTAGCGAAAATATAGACCCAATGTCAAACTAATTGTAACAGAAATTATTTTTTGACAAATAAAGTCTTACATGTACAAAATATACACAGTAAAAATCTAAGAAAATCTACAAGTTTATCGTTTTTCCTAGTTGTACTAACGTACTCCCCCTAGGCACCTCATCTCACCTCTGGAATTTCCGGGGGTCCATGTTTTATGTCCTGTTCACAGATTTATATTGTTTGTAGATTACTGTTCGTTATCTTCATCTTTTTCATTGTACGATTGCACATTGATTCCTTTTGGTTCTCCAAAACGTTTGACATGTGCAAACTTAATATTGTTACTTTGATGCTCTCCGTTTAATGCAAAACCTGGAATCGAAAAACATTCATAACAAGATGAGTTTGTTAAACACTGATGTCCCCGTATGGCAACTTATGAAGAAGATTAAATTTTTTCAAATGCAAGTCAAACTTTAAGGTCAAGGTCAAAGGATCAAAATTGTTGGTACCCAAAGAAAGGTATTGCTTGTGAAATACGAGAGCTCTAGCACCAACTGTTCAAAAAGTTATGGCCAAGGTTCATGTTTTTCAAAATTAGGTAAAATTCCATGGTCAAGATCAGCTGTCAGCTGTCTCGTTTAAAGTCATCATTTCGTAAGTTCTATGGTCGATACAATGACCTTGTCAGCAAATACAATTTATCATTGAGTCAAATGCTGACTGACGTTTTTCATATTAATTGTTAGGCCATTATTTACACACTGAATTGTCGACGGATTTTTCCGTTATTTCCCGATCATGACAAGGAGCACACGGCGGGTGTGACCGGTCGGCAGGGGATGCTCACTCCTCCATGGCACCTGATCCCACCTCTGATGTTTGGAGGTCCGTGTTTGCTCTGCTCCTATTTTGTATTGTATAGTGGACTTTTGAGCTTGAATACTGTTCGTTATCTCCATATATTTCATCAAAGGGTCAAAATTGATGGTACATGAGGGAAGTTCTTGTCATAAGGAATGCAGCTGTGGAATATGAAAGCCCTAGCACTAACCGTTCATAAGTTATGGCTAAGGTTAAAGTTTTTAGATAGTTGGTCAAACTCAAAGATCAAAGTGATAGGTTCAAAATTGTTAGTACCCAAGGGTCTTATCACAAGGAATGCAATATATAATATGAAAGCCCTATCACAAAACATTTAAAACTTAAAGCTGAACACGACTCGTAAATAGGCATACGCCATTTTCAATATTATATCTACGATACATCAACACCACGGTATACTCTTCGCATTCGTTACACCTGACTGCTTTATTGTCACGGGAATCGGCGTGGAATGGCGACCCGTGTTCGTGCTGATTATCTTGCATTACCTTTGTTTACATTTTATTGTAGTTACATGTACCTGTGTTTGTTTGTATAATGCACTGACCTGTACAACTATAATTGTAAGTTTCTTTTGTATCTACTTTCCTGCATTAGAAGAGGTATTACAGTTATTTTTGTCACTACCGAGTGCTGTATAGCATACGTCCGTCTACACCGGTGTCGACTTATTATACTGAACAGTGTCCAAGTCAGACCCTTTATATAGGGGTCCTCAGATATAGCGAGAATCCGAACAAAAATGGCGGACACATTGCTTTTACGAATCATGTTCAGCTTTAACGATCAATGTTTAAGTTTCTTAAACGTGGATCAAACTCCAATGTCAAGGTATCTTTGTGTCCAGGAAAAGGTCTTATTACAAGAAATACACGTTGAGTATGAAATACCTAGCACCAACCATTCAAAACGTATGACCAAGACTTAAGTTTTCTATTATCGGGTCAAACTCCTCGGTCAAGGTAAAAAGATCACATATATATGTTCCTAAGTAAATGTCTTATTAAAAAATACACTTGTGAAGAGCAAAACTTATGCCCCCCCCCCCCCCGAATAAAAATAAAAATAAAAATATGCATTCTTATACCTACTAAGGTCTGAATTACTACTTTTGATTTTTTTAGAATGTTACGTTGATATAGGTATGTTCAAGGAATATTTAGCTTAAACAAACAAAAAAATTGTTAATGATTGAGGACATTGATGGTGTTTAATATGCCTACCTTCACCTTAAAAGTCAAAAATGGTATAGAAGAATCGTCTTTAAATAGGACAAATACATATTATCTAACCGGAAGTTCTTCATGTACTAGTCACCAAATTTAACAATCTGCGTTCCCCATCAAATCCGAGTTGTCGCGTTTACGTATGTATTTAAGGAAGTTCTCTACACTCGAAGAACTTCAATGATTATTATTTTGTAGACATGTTCAAATGAATAAGCAAGTCTATTACTAAAATTAGGCAGATTGAGGGAAAGGCAGAACTGTTTCCCTAAATATTGAGAAACAACTTGAAATCCCAAAAGTAGGTCACTGTGACCTACTTCTTAGTTAACACAGTATGTTGCACCAACTGACAGAATTTGATGATTTTAAGCCTCTTATTTTCTCAGTATCATTGTTGTGCTTTTCAAAGAATACACATCCCCCTTCCATGTGTATTTTCGGCGATTAGGGTTCCTATAGTAGAACCCATTAAGGTGGCTATTAAGACAGCTGGTAAACCACCAGCAGCCGTTAACCATCACTGCACAGTTTACTCTGTGCAAATCTTGATCCCGATCATAGGTTGTTAACTCGATACTTTGTGCGAAAGCCATCGAATCTCCTGTTAAGGTCAGGTGACATGTTCCTCAATAATATATATTTTTTCCAAGAATTTGTCATTGAAGTATTGCTATTTTAATAAGTAATTAGCAATTGATGCCATCTAATCTTAGTTGTTTACATTCGCTGAAGTCCTACATGTACATGTAGCCAAGAATTAAATAAGTTAAAAAATATAACGTTTTATATTCATTTGGAATTTTGAAATCTATTTTAGGTGTGATGTAGAAAAACAATGTCAGACACGTAGCTGGGGTCGATTTTGAAGGTGGGGGGGGGGGGGGGGGATTATAAAGAAAAAATATTAAAAATTTATGATCAGTAAAAACGTGGAGGGGCAGGCCCCCTGCACCCCCTCTTATCTCCCCCACCCCCGATTCTATGTATCTGGATGTTATGTTCACCTGAGTGGCAGTCAGGTGCAAGTGGAATAATTTTCCAGAACTATTTATGTCAATTTGGAAGTTGTCATTCTATTATAGTCTAATGTTGGAAAAATAAATCCTTATGTTTACCTGGAAATTCACGTGCAGGTGAACAAAACGTAGCATTTTTTCTACAATGTTGGATCTTAGCCAATCAGAGAGCTTGGAATTATTCAATCATTATAATAAAATTTAATGCCCCTAATTTCATATTTTTTTGTACGAAAAAGTAACACAAAAATAATTATAATTTGCAACATTTTTTCCCTTCAAAATAAATAATATTTTAGGAATGACTCTAATTCTTGGCCAAATTATTCGAGTATAACCTGGTTTGGGTCAGTTTACGCTTTATAATCCGCGAAGCGGATTATAAAACAGCGTAAACTGACCCAAACCAGGTTATACTCGAATATTTACATTTGCAAATGTTTTCTTTTATATAACACTATTAAAAGCAACGCGTGTCTATATCTGTGTAAACACTGGTTCCCGCGTCATAAACGTTCGACGTAATTTCTCAGTGACGTCATTAAGGGTCGACGCGCAATCTATAGATCAAAGTTGTGCCGTTGAGTTTGAAAAAATAAAACATTTCACACGTTGAAGGTTATAATCAGGCTAATATATAATATGAATAAGTCACAAATGTAAATATAAGTAATAAGGTATCATTTTAAAACATCTATCGGGATATAAATACGGGTTGGTACGAGATCAAATTTACCATAAAGCCCTTCGGGCTTTATGGAATTTGATCTCGTGACCAACCCGTATTTATATCCCGATAGATGTTTAAAAATGATACCTTGTTTCTTAAATATTTTGGCCAAGAATTAGAGTCATTCCTTATAATTTAATTTTAAAATCATTAAATAACTATGGGTGTAAAATTTCGTTGCATTTTATTAGTTCAAATTTGCCGCTCAATATAAAACCGTAGTAACGGAAGTGATGGGAAGCAAGGGGAGGTAAAAACTAATACATAGGCCTAGCAACCTTGTTGTTTGTTTACATGTGGTAAGATCGAATTATTGTTTGAAGTTAAAGGTACATTTATTAAATCTGGAATTTTCCATGAATCCCGAGGACTGGAAATGAGAGGATTGCATGTATGGATACAGATGATTCAGCTGGATGTCGGGGGGGGGGGGGTCCCCATACCTAACCAGGTTATACAGAAATAATTTGTGTTCCATTTTGGATATTAACCAATCAGACGCTAGAATACAAACAAAATTAAATTATTCAAAACTGTTTTGCATAAAATACTAGTCGGATTAATTACATCTGGTAAAGCTAAAGTGATTAACCAGAACGTTGATATTTTAAGTACAAAAAGGTCAATTTAATTTTGTGTTGCTCAATAAAATGTACACGGTGCCCCAATTTTCTTTGCAGTTTTGAATTATTCTATATGAGTAGATAAATTATACTTCTAAAAATCTTTGATATAATTAATGTCGGGAGTTACATACGAGGGTAGTTCAATAAATAATGCAAAGGTCATCTAAAAATAAAAAAAGTAGGTAATACATATTCTTACTATTTTCAATACCTCTTACATGTACCCTTTACAAATGGCTTAGGTCTTTGTACCCATGACCAGAAAACGTCAGCACACTCTTCCTTAGGGGTGCTCAAAAGACACTGATGAATATCACTTCCCATGACATATCTGACATTGTACAATCTTCCTTTGATTGTTTTCATGCATTTTTTGGAATAGGAAAGATCTAATAATGGCTGAGATCTAGCGAATATAAGGGTGGGGGTGGCAAAGCTCTGTAAACTTTCTCTTCTTCAAAATTTCATTTATTTCTTTATGTTTATTTGCAGCATCTGTGTCAGGTACAGGAACATTAGCCTGGGGACCGGTATTTGGACTTCCTTTGCAGGAAATCTGTTTAAATTTCCTCAGTGCAATTTGAACATAAAAGTTTCCATTGATTGTCTTTCATTTGGGTGTATTTACATGTTTTACTGGACCTCCTTAAGAAAAATGAAAACTAGAAAAACACGTTTATAGCCCTTGTTTCTCTTTACAAAAATAAGAAGACAGCTTTTTCTTTGATTCCACATTTTAATATTGATCTTCCTTTTTGGCTATAAAAAGTGCATCCATGTTTCGTCATTCATCACGGAAGTTTATCAAATCCTCCATTTTGTTAAAATATTTGTTTTTAAATAGATCATTGGCACATTTAACGCGTTTTTCTCTTAGACTTTTTGTAAGAAAATAAAGCACATATCTGATAAAAATGTTATTATTATCATTTCCTTTGTCAGAATTCTATAAAATGTTGTGATGATGAAATGTTTAGTGTCTTAGCAATGTCTTTCAGTGTAAATCTGGCATTTTCAGATATCAAGTTGCACACAGCATCGATATTTTTGTTGTCCCTACAGATTTCAATCGACCAGTTAGACCATTATATTTTAACTCTCCTTTCGTACTTTTAAATTTCTGGTTCCATCTGAAAACTATATAGCGTCAAAGACTCTTTTTTCCACATATAAAAATTAAGCCTTAGTATAAATTCTTCAGCGATTTGTGTGAAGAAGCACAGTTTTCACACACGCTTCTTGGCAGAGATCATTTTAAACAGTTTTCAGCTCAGTGAAGTGACCGTGCTTACTTTACTTTAAAAGTGGAATTCCTTTGCGAGGACAATAGGAAAAATCAAGAGATTTTCTTTTAATAAAACTTTTCAACTGTGAAAGGATAAAATTAAATTATACTTGTACATTTATTATGATATACTACATGTTGCATTATTTATTGAACGGCCCTCTACCTTAAGCAAAAGAATAAAAATATGGCAATCTCCGAAAAATACAAAAAGCATGTCCATGTTCAAAACCAGCTTTCATTATGGTCCGTACGATCAAGACAGTATAATACATTTGTATTTTCTTCAATGTCAAAAGAACAGTACTGCATGTAATTAAATAAAAATCCGGATTTAGCAATTTTAAAGCTTTAAATCTTTGTTCTTTGTCTTTACATGATCAAATTTTTATGCGCATTGAATAAGACTCAAAAGGAGGAAAATATCATTCGCACACAAAATAGATCAGATTGATTGTTGATTCAAGTAGGAAGTTCATGAAGAAAGTCAATTCTAATTCAATGGTAAAATTGCGCACTTGAAATATAAATGAAAGGACTATCAACATAGCTTACCGGCATTTCCAGTGTATCCTGAGATTGTTAGTTTGTATCCCTGCGACTCCGTACTAATTTTGAAGTGACTGTATTTTGCAAACCTCTTTTTACCATCAAAATCTTCAAGATCGATCCTTAATTCGTACCACCCGAGATTTGTTATTTCATACAAAACTTGATTGCCTAAAATTGAACGTGCACAATAGCGGTATACTGAGCAATCTTGCATTTTAAGGCAATTAAGATTTGTTTATTCTAAATACTGACCAAGCCAGTGTTCCCCATTCAAATTTCCGAATCCGTCTTTATATTCCTTCCACGTCCGAAAAAAATTCACAGACCCATCCATTCTTCTTTGGAAAACCTTTGTTGAAAAAAATTTTTATGCCCGTATACTTAGCAAATTAATTTACAAAAGTTGCACAATCATGACCTTACCAAATTTTAGCTTACATGACCTCATTTCAAACAATTATAAACCTTATATATAAAGGATTTACAATACCGTCCATCCTCCACCATCCATGGTCATGTCACAGTACGCTGTGTGACCATGACCTCCTGCCGGGTATATTTTATAAACTCCACTAGGTGCACTCGGCAAAGCCTTACGAACATCACTACAGTCTACGGGAACCAGACCAGACTGAATAAGTTTACCTTCAGAGATAAATATATACTTAAAGATAAGAAATAATTTTTTTTCAGGAGATTTTTGTGTATGGCAACCAGAGGGATTGTACCGATCTCAATAAACTCAACAGAACTCAATGACACCTAGTTAAATAAAAAAAGAAGTGATTACCTTTGGGATAATTTTTTTGAATGACTGGAAACCGATATGAAGTTATCAAGATGGTCGACCCATCGACGGCTTTTGAAATGTTCTGTGACCAATTCTTGGTAGATAATATAAATTCCTTTAAGACTAGAAAAGGAAAATAATTTTTTTTTATTTTACATTATGCTAGCGTTATATAAGTATCCGTACAAATGTACAATAGAAGCTGGCATCAGTGGATGAAATAATGTAAATTCACAGAGAAATGGTATCTAAATAGAGACAGTTCATTTTGAATGGTCGTTCTGTTAAATGATTTTAATATTTTTTAATGATTAAATATTTTCTTGAGCGCAGTGTATTATAGAATTATATATGTACATAAGGACCATCAATTATTTACCTTGCTTTTCTTCTTTTGCATTGATCTTTATGACGCAAGCATATAAAATAAAAACCACACACATAAAATCCATTTCTATATACATGTAAACCTTAGTAGCTAGAAAGGAAATGACGAATTATTTACCTCCACCCAGTAAATTCAAAATTAACAGAATGATAAAGTACTAAGCATTGTCGATGAAAAACCGTACACTCTGAAATAAAATCAATATTGCGCACACATTTATATCGAATGCGTGTAAATTAGTCATTTGATAGATATTCGTGTTAGTAATCTGAAATAAAATAAGTATTCATGCTAATACTAGTATCCCTTTGCAAGGTGACTTTTAATAGAATTTTTTTTACATGATACAGAATCTCAATATTGATCAGGTTATTCAATGATTAAATGGTTTTTATTGTGCAGTTGTTGTTGTTGGTTTTTGCCCGTGTGTGTTTATCTGAGACGACATGAAAATGTATTTTAAGGCGACAAATTAGTAGATTATCTAACCCTTAACGTCTAAATAAATCGATCAATTGAACAAAAATTGTTTGCACGTTCAATAAGGTGATTATTATCGTTATTATTGTCATAAAAAATAAGTCGAATTCCTTATATTGAATTGTATAGTTAGATATTCATTAGTCTCTTCACTGTTATTGGATGTTTTCTTTCTTCTAAATAATAAGAACACATACATGTATTCATTTTTATTTCATGTCATCTCACCATGAACATATCCCTGATGTCTTGGGAGTTTGTGTTGTTTTTATTGAAGTAAAGAAAACTGTTACGTAACACAATAGAAATTTTCTATTTTATAGAACTAAAAAAATAAATTAAAAGAATTACGATTTTGTCAAACTAGGAGCAATAATATTGGTCTACATCGATTTATTCGAATTTATTGTCCTATTCTGTTCTTGGACATAGCTCAATCGCAAGAGACATCTGGGTGTTTTAAAGGTAATCAGATTTGGCGCGTTAGAGCATCCTCATATTCATGGGTAGGTAAAACTATACATTGTTAAAACTTTATTGAAATTTATAATATACTCAGGTGTCTCTTGCGATTAAGTTATGACAATTCACTTCAATAATGCGCGCAGTAACGACAAAACATATTTATCATTTTGGCTATAAAATTTTGTATTTTTTCATTGTGGAAATGTTTCTCTAACTCTCAAATATATATGGTAACATTTTCTTGACAGTACAAATCTTCAATGTTATTTGTATACTATACAATCTCATGAAACTCACCTCTGTGGTGTATTGCACCAGGGTACTTAATTAGCTATTTAAGGAATACGTGTCTATTTGCTTAAGTCAAATGCTTTCTGACGTTTTTCGTACTAATTGTTAGGCCATTACGAGGGCTGTCCCATAAAAACGCGAACATTTTCAATATCTTTTGTTTCACTAATACTATAAAGTTAAAAATTGGCATACATCATAAACACCATTTTTTGAATAAGGCCTAAAAAATCAATAAAATATATCTATAAATAACATTTTTTTCTCTCTGGTAAACCAATCGTACAAAATCGCTGTCGGCACAACATTGACGACATCAAAATTAGCTCGTTTGTGAACTTCTGGAATCGTGTGTCTGATAAAACTCGTCTGAAGCATAAATTTGACACTGTGTTTAATTTTCTTTTTGTTATAAAATTTTCCATATCAAATATTATGTGTATGCAGATATAACCAACACATTGCGGCATTTGATAATATTATTTGGAAATGCGACCAAAAAAGGAGGGGACTGTCAATGCAAGAGCAAACCTGGTTTTCTTTAGTATGAAGAGTTCTAGTATTACTCATATAAATTATAAAAAAAAACCGTTCTGAAAACTGTAGGAGATGACATTCGAACAATATCAATGTACTCAATGACTACGTTCATAAACTTTTATTTTTCTTATAAATTATCAAAATTCCAAATACTATGCACATCTCTGATACATGTGCAATTGATCTAAAAAAAATACACATGTATCTTCAAAATTGTAGTAGGAATTATTCGGACAAATGTTGTAACCTATATGCAATATTTTGCTGGAAGTTCAATAGCTTATATTTTTCTCAAAAATTCGAGTACTTTACAAATCTCTTATATTTGTACAATATATATATAATTATAATCTACAAAAAGGACTTCCCATCTTGAAAATGGTAGTAGGATTTATCCGGAAAAATGGGTTACCCTGTATTCAATATTGTGCCAAAAAATGACGAGCTTCAACAGCTGCTATATTTTTCATAAATTATCAAAATCAAATTAGAATGCAAATTTCTGATATATGTACAATTTAACTTTTATATTGTATGAATGTAATAGGTTGTCGATATATCTAATTGTCGAGTTGAAGGCCACAATAAGTGTTTTCTTCTTCTCACGTAAATGAAATATATGGAGATAACGAACAGTATTCAAGCTCAAAGTCCATTATACAATACAAAATAGGAGCAGAGCAAACACTGACCTCCAAACATCAGAGGTGGGATCAGGTGCCATGGAGGAGTGAGCATCCCCTGCCGACCGGTCACACCCGCCGTGTGCTCTTTGTCATGATCGGGAAATAACGGAAAAATCCGTCGACAATTCAGTGTGTAAATAATGGCCTAACAATTAGTATGAAAAACGTCAGTCAGCATTTGACTCAATGATAAATTGTATTTGCTGACAAGGTCATTGTATCGACCATAGAACTTACGAAATGATGACTTTAAACGAGACAGCTGATATTCTTGTTTCATCAACTTATTTGTCAATAATTTACCTCGTTTTAGAAATTGTACATACGTAGAGCATGCTCTTGCGTATCGAATCAACTGAGAGATATATACCCCGTATGCAGGTGATGAAGGTATATTGCTGCATAAGTAAGGGAAGTTGACGATTGAAAAGTTAAAGTCATCACGTTTATCATAAAGCTTGGTTGTTAGATTACCATTAACGTCTTTTTCAAGTAAAATATCCAAATATGAAACAGATGTGTCAGACTCTGTGGTATCTTTTATCTCAAGTTCACCAGGATATATCGTATCGACATAAGAATGAAAATAGCCATTGTTAATTGACAATACGTCGTCGATATATCTAAATGTCGAGTTGAAGGCCACAGCAAGTGTTTTCTTCTTTTCACGTACAAGATTTTGGACAAATTCTGCTTCATATGAATACAAAAAAAGGTCTGCTAATAACGGGGCGCAATTGGTACCCATAGGTATTCCAATAGATTTTTGGAAGACATGATCTCCAAAAACTACATAGGTACATGTATTTTCAGAATCTCAAGCATCTTTTTAATATCAACTTCAGAGTAGGTGTGTGTACAATTAGAATGTTTTTTTAACAAAATAATTTTGCAGATGACCAGTGACAAGGTAAGTATATTTACAAGTTCCATTTTATAGAAAAAAAAAAGCTGTCTATAAAAATATTTTAGTCAAAAAGCCAGGTCTTTAATTTATCGTTTGGAATGGTTGTATACAGAGATGAAAAGTCGTAGTCGTTTTGATGTTATTGGCTTTGTTAGAATTTTTTGATTTCAAATTTTTAAAAGGTTGTTTGGAGTTTTTAAGCATCCACATCTGATTTACGCCACTTCTTGAATATACTGTTGTACAGTACTCCTGAAGTTTCTCCTTCTGTTGTATATATTTTAGTGAGGAGTATAGAAAGAGGCTTGGTAGAACATTAACTGGAACCTGCTATGTATCTTTGTAAGGATTTTTATGGAGTTTTGAAATCAAGTATAGATATGGTAATTCAAATTCATTTTGATTGTACGGAATATTAAAAATGTCTAAAACTGACATATGGGTTTTAAGAATTTCTTCCTTAGAAAGGGAGCTATGGGTATATGTTGGATTACCACTTGCAGAATTAAATCCCAGTTCCTCTAAAATACTTTTCAAATAATGAGCCTTACAAACAGTGTTACCTGCTTTGTCAGCGGGAACCAGTACATACTGATCGTGTAATCTCTCTAATTCTTGTTTTACTTCTGCATTGTCGAAGACAGAAGGATAGATGTTTCCATATTACCCCCTAATCGCTTACTGCGCGATTTCAACATCCATCTCATACATTTTATCCATTTCAACAAAGTGTCATGGTCTTCTTTTTTATGTTTGGTCCGTCGTCTGTCGTAATCTTCTACTGAATTCATAATATTTATGAAATTATGACGCCAGTTGAAAGATCGGGGTTCCCTAAACTTTGGCACTCTTATAATAAGTGAATTTAGATCTTCGTTATTAACTATATTTACGTCGCGAGTAATGACGTGTTCAGCAGGACTAAAGTTGTAGTGTGAAGAAGAACATGACCACGTTGGAGAATTATGTTTCAGATGCTCGATATCCAGGCACTGTAAAAACATCCTTGAATGGTATAAGACTGCAATAGAATCTGACAATCAAAGAAAATACTATTCCCCTGCACTCAAATGAATAAAAAAATGAAATTAAAGGAAATAATCAAATAAACAAATAAATCGCATGAGAAACGAGATTTCAACTTTTCCATCGTCAATTTTCCTTATTTATGTAGTTAAATCCCGCTATCACCTGCAAATGGTGTTAACATCTCCCAATTTATTCACATTCAAGAGCATGCTCCAAAAAGATCATTAAACTGAGGCAGGCTATTGAAAGATAAGTTCATGTTACAAGGATTTCAACAACCTCGCTTAAAGTCAGCATTTCGTAAATTATATGGTCGTTATAATGACCTTGTTAGAAAATATAACCTTTTTGACTGACACGTTTTATACCATTTGTTAGGCATTTGTTTTTATACTGAATTTGACTATGCAATGTTTTGTCTACTTGATCAATACATAGGGCCCATGGCGGGTTTGACCGGTCGACAGAGAAAGCTTACTCTTCGTAGACACCTGATTCCATCTCTGGAACTTCCAGGGGTGTGATTTATATCCTTTTCACAGAATTGTTTTTTTATAGATTTTTGAGATCGATCACCGTCCGTTACCTTAACCTTTTTCATTGTTTTCCAACAATCCTCCATAAGAGATTTCACTCAGTCTACACGACCCCATTGTGGAATACCAATCCCGATGTATTTTCATAGTAATTAAATATAAGTTTGTGTGATAACTGAATATCATATATATTATTAGCTCATAAACATGTATAAATGCCAAATATCAAAACTCTGCCTCTCAAAATTCAAAAGACGTAAGTCAAATTAAACTGCCAAGGGCATTTTGTGTAAAGTAGTTCAAAAGGTCAAGAAGATTGTAACGCAAGTATTTTTCATAATGTGTTATGAGAAACAAGGCACTTCCTAAATAGCAAAGCTTTACCTCTTAAATGTGGTATATCGGCACTATGATCTACTTTGAAAATTAGATCAAAGGATGAGTTCAAAGGTTACTAGGTCGGTAGCCATGGAAATTTACAAAAGCCATAAAGCCAAGCAATATATGTGTAAAATATCAAACCATATCTCTCACAGTTCTCGAGATAAAAGGTGTGACAATCAGACAGACAGATGGACAAACACCCCGGGTAAAGTGATCCCTAAATGTCGGTCTGCTCTGCAGGTGACACAAGAACACATTGGCATATAATTGGCATACTTTGTATTTAATTACGACCTTGGAATTTTAATATACTTGTATACAACATGACTATGGCAGTCTCTTATATTAGAAAACAGAATTATTTTTATTATATAAGTACCAAAAAGAAACGATTCCTTTTTATTGTAAAATCAAATATCAAGAGAAAGTTTTTTGTTTGCTCATATCGTATATGAAATTTAAAAGGAAATATACGAACCATCTATTCTTCCGTTTTCATATAATCGGAGGTGATAAAAGAACTAAAAGGCCACATGAACAATATTTACAATGGTTCCAGCCGAAAAGGTTTGTATCAATATCGTCTTTGTTTATAAGGCTCATTATTATAACTGTATTTTAGAAGAACTTGGTTTTAATTCTACTTTTGGAAATCCAAAGCATACACGCAGTTCACTTTCTAAATATGATATTCTTCCAGTCAACCAAGGTGAGATCGATCTAGCCTACCTATATTGCAATCCTAAACTTCATAAAATCCATTCAAACAGATATACATTGCTGGGTCCAGCAAATGATCTATTAAACCCGTATCTTTACTCCTTACAAAAATATTAACTGCTGTGAAGGAGAAACTTAAGACGTACTGTGCTACAGCGTATTCTAGAAGTGGTGAAAATCAGATGCGGATTCTCAAAAAACCCAAAGAACTTTTAGAAAATTCAAAATCGCCCAATTTTTCAAAAGTCATTAACATAAAAACTTACGACTTTGCTACATTTTACACAACCATTCCTCACAATAAATTAAAAATTAGGCTTTTTGATATCATAAACAATGGCTTCTTCAACAAAAATGGAAGTATAAATTTTCGTATCTTGTGATTGGTCATCTACAAATTTACTTTGTTAAAAATCAAGTACTCTGAAATTGTTTTTAAAAGGATGCTGGAGTTGACAACATTTAGGTTCGTGTAGTCTTCGGATACAAGGTCTTCCAATAAACTTTTGGAATTGTGTTGGGCACTATTTGTGCTCCTTTATTAGCCAACATTTTTTTATATTCCACTGAAGCAGAATTTATTCAAAGACTTCTACATGAGAAGAAGAATAAAACTTGCTCTTGCCTTCAACTCGACATTTAGAATATCGACGACGTATAAACAGAAAGCTATAGTTACTTCAATTCATATGTCGCCTCGATATATCCCAGTGAACTTAAAATTAAAGAAACCACAGAGTCTGGCACATCTGTTTTATATTTGGATTTTTTTTACTGACGATAAGGGCCAACTAACAGCTAAATTGTATGACAAACAAGTTGACTTCAGCTTTTCGATCGTCAACTTTCCTTATTTATGTAGTAATATCCCACTATCACCTGTAAATGGTGTTTACATCGCCAAACTTATTCGATACTCAAGAGAATGCTCTGAGTACTATCAGTTTTAAACCGAGACAGGCTACTGACTGATATGTTGATGTCACAGGGTTCTTTTTACAACCTCGTTAAAAGTTATCGTGACCTTGTTAGCAAATATAATCTATCATTTGGTTCTTTTTTGGCTGACATGTTTCATACCAACTGTTAGGCCTTTGTTTTTTATAATGAATTTGACTACGCAATGTTTTGTCTACCTGATCAATACATAGAGCTCATGGCGGGTTTGACCGGTCAAAAAGGGATGGTTACTTCTCCTAGGAACATGATCCAACCTCTGGAATTTTATGCCCTTTTTACAGAATAGTTTTATTCGCAGTGAGAGAAGCCAGCTCGTAGGAAACCCAATAAAGTTTGTCAGGGGTACCACGAACACGTGCTTTGAAGACGCAATGATAAAAGATAAGACAACAAGCATAACAACAATTAGTTTAATTTTTTTGATTTGATTTCTTGCTAGTGTGCTTTCTCAGCATCATGGTTGTACTTTTGAGAGAATACTTATGCCCCTTCCAGTGATACCAAACGATACCATGTGTATTGGCGGCGATAGTAGGATTCCTATAATAAAACCCATTAAGGTGACTATGATGACAGTTAGTAAACCACCAAGCGCCGCTGGTTTGGACTGCACAGTTTTCTCTGTACGAATCTTGATCCCGATCATAGGTTGTAAACTTGATATCATTTGCGAAAGCCATAGAATCTCCTATGAACATTACAATGGCAGTATTTAATAAAGTAGTTATCAATGTCACGTGATTTCATATCTTAAACAAAAGACTGCCCCACAAAAATATAAACACAAATCAAAACTCGGGCTAAATAATATCTTTGTTGTCAAAGAAGAATACTGCACTTATTTATTGAATATAAATTCAGGATTACCATCTCTAGATCTTTGATCTTTAACTTTTCGAATACATTTAGATGCGTTGCACAACTTTCACATAATGTATTTTATGCACAATAAATATGATTCAAAACTAAGGAAATATTATTCGGACAATTCATATTGTTGATTGATGAGAAAAGTTTTCATTCAATGAAAAATGAGCAATTTCCTTTCTTATTGGAAAATCAAATAATTATGAACTTCCGAATCGCTTACCCGCATTTCCAGTATATCCTGAGATTGCCAATCTGTATCCCCGCGACTCCGTACTGATTTTGAAGTGACTGTATTTTGCAAACCTCCTTTTACCATCAAAATCTTCAAGATCGATCCTTAATTCGTACCACCCGAGATTTGTTATTTCATACAACACCTGGTTTCCTTGAAATTTAAACATTTACAATTGCAGTAAAAATCTTGCAATTTTAAGGCAATTAAGATTTGTTCATTCCAAATACTGACCAAGCCAGTGCTCTCCCTTTAAATTTCCGAATCCGTCTTTATATTCCTTCCACGTCCGAAAAAAATTCACAGACCCATCCATTCTTCTTTGGAAAACCTTTGTTAAAAATATTTTTTATGCCCATATACTTTGCATATTAATTTACAAAAAGTTAAACAATAATGACCTTGCCAAATTTTAGCTTACATGACCTCATTTCCAAACAAGTATAAACGTTATATATAAAGGATTTACAATACCGTCCATCCCCCGCCATCCATGGTCATATCACAGTATGCTGTGTGACCATGACCTCCTGCCGGGTATATTTTATAAACTCCACTAGGTGCACTCGGCAAAGCCTTACGAACATCACTACAGTCTACGGGAACCAGACCAGACTGAATAAGTTTACCTTCAGAGAAAATTCCAGTGACAATACAGTTCTGTTGATATATATTTTATAAAAATAAAATTTGGGTTTTACGGAAAAATCGATGGCGAAAAATTTTTCTTTGTGCGAGTTTTAGTGTATAGCAACCAGTAAGGTTTCGGCAAGAAAGCACCAAAGGATAGTCGTGCTTACCTTTATAAGATTTGGGAATCACCGGAAACCGGTACGAGGTTATCAAAATGGTTGACCCATCGACAGCTTTCGTAATGTTCTCTGACCAATTTTTGTTTGATAATAAAAAATTCTTTAAGACTACATAAAATAAAAAAGGAAAAGGTTATATACAGAGTGGTAACGTCATCTATGCAGAATTATATGCAAGAAAAAACTGGTACATGTATTAAAGAATGAAATACTATAAAGTCAAAGATGGAATACTTATGATAATGGTTTATGAAAAAAGCAATTCATTTTAACATTGTACGTCTTTTTATTTTTTTTTATTTTTTTTTCCTGAACACCGTATATTAGAATAATACATACTTGTAAGAACTATTATTTATTTACCTTCATTTATTTCCTTTGCACTTGAGTTTTGGACACATACATAAAAGATAAATACCACACAAACAAGATTCATTTCTCGAAACATGAAAACCTTAGGTAGCTAGACAAGAAATTAGAAATGGTTATAATTTAGTTCCACCGAGCAAATTAAAAATTATATTGGTCGTTGTATACTTGTACATTGTGAAATAAAATCAATAATGCGCACTGTTTTATATGAATGCGTGTAAATTAGAGTCATTTGATAGATACATGTATTCGTGTTAGTAATTTGAAATTTAATAAATATTCACGTTACAACTCGTATCCATTTGCAATGTGTTGTAAAATTTTTTTTTATTTACTCATTGATAGTAATACAAAATCTAGATCTGGTTATTCGAGGAATAAATGTCTTTTATCCGTTTTAGTGCGTGCGTGTTTGTCTCTTTTTGACATACATACATTGAATTCATGGAAAAATCGGGATCTGTCACTTTGAAATTAAGAATGTGACAAGTATAGTTTTTACAAAACGGTTTGCGGTCTTAAACAACAACCTTAAACAGTCAACTGAGATACACCTATCAGGATAAATTATTATTGAGTAATTCTTGGCTTTGTGTTTCTTCAGCAGCTTTGTAGGGACACTGGCCCTACCATTGAAAAGACAGTAAAAACAAAGAACAAAAAGAATAAACACAAATTTTAATGTCGACTAGATATATTCCGGTGAACTTGAAATAAAAGATACCACAGAGTCTAACACATCTGTTTCATAAATGGATATTTTACTAGATAAAGATATTAATGGTAACATAACAACAAAACTTTGTAATAAATGTTATGTCTTCAACTTTTCTATCGTTAACATCTCTTACTTATGTAGCAATATACCCCTATCACCTACAAATGGGGTTTATATCTCCCAGTTGATTCAATAAGCAAGAGCATGCTCAACGTATGAACAATTTCTAAAACGAGGCAAGTTATTGACAAACAAGCTGATGAAACAAGAAAATCAACATTCGCAAGTTCCATGGTCGATACAATGACCTTGTCAGCAAATACAATCTATCATTTTATGTCGAATGCTGACTGAAGTTAGGTCATTATTTAAACTTTAATTTGACATTTCCCCCGATTTTTCCCATTGGAAATTTGATCCCATTTTGTTGCCCCACACTATCTCCTGGGGTCATGATTTGAACAACTTATAAATCAACGAAACGTGGATGCTTTCAATTTGACTAAATCAGGTACTGTTGAAAAGAAGATTTTTAAATATTTTGTCATATATATATATATATATATATATATATATATATATATATATATATATATATATATATATATATATATATATATATATATATATATATGACAAAATATTTTAAAATCTTCTTTTCAGATACTCGCACCCCCGGAATTCGACATCTACCCGGAGTGGCAAGAAAGGACCTCTTAAAACATCAGAGGTCGGATCAGGTTCCATGGAGGAGTTAGCATCCCCTGTCGACCGGTCACACCCGCCGTGTACCCCTTGCTATGATCGAACAAATGGAAAAATTCGTTGACAATTCAATCTTTAAATAATGGCCTAACAATCAGTATGAAAATCGTCAGTCAGCATGATAGATTGTACGTCCCGACAAAGTCATTGTATCGACCATTTAACTTGCGAAATGACGACTTTAAACGAGACTGTTGATATCCTTTTTTCATCAACTTGTTTGTCAATAGCTTGTCTCCTTTTAGAAATTGTTTATCAAATTTGATTACATGTAATTGTTTTCTTCTAAAAATGTGAGCGTATTTTTGTAAACTGTGTCCATTCATAAACATTGTAAATGAGAGAGTCAAACTTCCTTGTTATTAATATTAATATTCGAAATTTAATGCTTTAAACACAATTTGTACATATGTGATATATATTCTGCTCATGCATCTATGTCAATGTTATAATTTTAATATGTTACTCTGATCTCTATGCAAACAATGAGATTCTAATAAACTGGTAAACTGGTAATAATTGGACAATGTTTTACTTCATACAGTGGATGAGAAAAAAATTCTAAGAGGGAACATTTTGAACACAATAGAGTTAATTAAGTAGGTTATAGGCCTCAAACTATCTATTCTTTAACAAAAAAAGAACTACTGTTGGGCCCTACGGTCCTCCAACAGTTCTTTCTTCTCACAGAATGGACGGTTTTGGCCTATATCTTTACTTGTCGACTATTTCTCATTGCAGTCGAGCTTTATTCATATATTTGACAATCATGCTTATGATTTTGTATTACTTGAATGATTTCTAAATTATATCAATACCACAAATAATTTTCTGCAAATGATGCTCTGTCCTACTAACAAATTGTTTTAATGTGGCTAGAACTGTTGATATCAAGCTGCATTTTATTTACTATTTTTTTTTCTTTTTAATCCACAAGATCTCAGGATTTAATTATTGTCATTATTAGAATAAAAATAGTATTTTTCTTAAGAAGGGATTATTGATGGGGTACATGTGTATTTTAGCTATGTTTTTCTATTGTAAAGTATTATGGGGGGGGGATGACTCCCTTAACCCCCCTCCCCCTTACCTCGCTTCATACGGGTCTGGTTTTAAGTACATGCTTAATATTCTAAGTTGTTACTACTAAATATAAAAAAAAATGTTTCTCGGGAGAGCAGATAATAGTTATACTTTGCTGGTGCGACGTTACACAGTACAGTCATGGATTGAGTAATCTTAGGATCTACACGATAGACACAAGGGGAAATGACTGAGTAGCTCTCCCGGATTTAGTGATCAACATACTTATTTACTAAGTGATATCGGGTTAGCTTGTGTATTAAAATTACTGTCGTGAAGTCTCCAGCTTCAGATTGTGGGAGAACATTTTTTATTTCTCAATATAATTTCAAGGTTAGTACGCTTTTGGTTAAATTAGAAATATATTATGAATACCTTGATCAAAATTAGTCTAACTGTATGCTTGTTGATAAAAAAAATATGGTAAAAAGCACACAGAAAATATGACACTTTTTAGCATCACGTACCATTTTTCAAGAATAAAAGGTCTTGGACCTGTTTAAGATTTTGTTGTTAAGCTAATGCCAAATAGAGGATGTGAAAATTCTACAGGAAAAAAAAACATCGACAAAAATATTTAAAATTTCCTTTGTAACAGATACTAGGAAGTACATGAAGATCCATATTTGCTGAAGTGACACCCAGGGTCCCTTGAGAACTGGGTCTCTCTCTTTGAAGCTGAGAATTCGAGGAGTTAATAGAATATAAGAAATACTGACGCGAGTGAGGTTGTATATATATATATATATATATTTAAAGTAATGGAAGAAGGCGGAGATCTTCGAGACGGCAGAAACAGGTAAATGATTGAGGAAGGAGATACTTTAATTAAATACTAAGTTGTTTATTCATTAAGTAAATTTTATTTATCATTAAATTTCAAATTTTCAATCATAGGAAGAAGATAATATAATACCTAAGTGTAGCGATTTTGCTCATCCCAATTTATTCCATAATTTTAATATTTTTCATCTCTAAATAGGCTGAATTAATAGTCCAGAACACTGACTTTATCTTGTGCTTAAATCTTGAAGCAAATATTAAGATAATTAGTAATATATAGAGTACCATTTAACGAGTGTATCTTCAGATATCGGACGAGGGGGCTTGCCCCCCGAGTCTGATATCTGAAGATGCACGAGTTAAAAGGTACTCTATATGTTTTGTATCATTGTTCTCAGGTATTGAGCTACCCATGATCTATCAAATTCACGTTAATAGCACTTAATTCAACTACATATTCTCATGCACTGAATTAGCCATGATCTATCAAAATTTCATTATACTATTTTATATAACCAATGAAAAAAGAGCACGTGATTCGAAAAGTATAGCGCGCTGTACTTCTTGAAATTTCTACCTCGTCCATTCATATTCTGAACGCCATGGATGACGGTTGTGATTTTATGCTTTCGCAATTCTTATAGACACGGAAACCGAAATTATGAAGGAAAATTCCTTAGATCAGTTAGGAAACCAGATGCAGGTTGAAGATTGTTTAGGAAGTATGAGGTTTGATCTACGGAACTAAAAATTGACCTATCATTATGGATTTCGATATAGGAAATATTTTAGACATGATGGAGACTGAGTTGAGTGCGTTAATTTCACCAGTCTCGAGGTCGACACGAAGACGAAAAATGAAAGGTTTGTACAAGTGTCCGATCATGAAATTCAGCGTTTGATAGACTCTCAAAAAATATCCTCGTAACGTTCAAGCTAAGGAGTGGCGTGCGGCACGGGAAAATGTCCACTTTTGACCGAGATGAACAGCGATTCTCTAAATTACTGGATGCAGCGATTTGTGTTGGAATTAAAAACAAGGAATATCCACCTCGCTCCCCGTACTACATTTTGTGTGGTTTGTTACGCTTCAAGTTTATGAGAATCGAAAACATTCATTTATAAAAATGTGCTTGTGGGAATTTCGTTACGGATTTTAAAAAAAATCGACGTGCAAAATTTTGAATATATTATTGTTTATGTAGACCCAAGGAAAGGTATACCTTCACTATGTTTACAATTATGTGCTTGTATTTTGCTCATAAAGTCAGCTACATTGTTTATATTCTTTTTCTTTATCAATGTAAGGTCAAGGGTCATTGGAATTGTTGCATCATTACCCTGGTGTGTAACAGGGGTATCACTATGGAAGTATATAACACAACACTCCTGTCAGGGTTCATCAGATTTATTGCACAGTGGAGTGATTATAAATATATAGTGTTGTATTATGTAAGCCCATTTTATGGGAATAGGCTTTCCCACAAATTGTTAATATAGAAGTATCTACATGAATGGTGATCAGAAATGGAAATCTGTCCAAAGTCAAAAATGTCTTTTATGAATATATATATATAGTCTGGTCAAATCAACCACTGAACAAAGAATACTCAGAATAAAGCGGGAAAACTCCAACCCAGTCAATAAAACCAATAGAATCAGACCTTTCAAATCAATAACCAATAAAAACCAAAATAACAATAACCACTTCCAAAACACCTGACCAATGCCCTTAGGTAATATATATAAGTATGTACAGGTAAGGGAGAACTAAGGGGTGGATCTAGGTTTTGAATAACAAATTTAAATAAAAGTTAAAATATATCTTCTGGCAAGTTCTGTTACTTTATTTTTGTACAAATCCAACACTATTTTATCTTTCTGCATCTTTGGCCAATAAAATCGTCGTCGCACTAATGAAATAGTCTTGTCTCTGCCCAAATGTCCCATCTTATTGTGCAGGTGATGTAATACAGTTGGAATGGTTGACATGGGAATGACAGATTGATGGATGGTGCTATCTTCTGTTTTCACTTCTCTCAATAGCATGTTTTCTTTGACTTTGAATTTGGAAAAATTTCTGTAGAAAATCAAGTCATTTTCAGTGTTCAAAGAATCCCTATCTGGTCTGGTTCCTAATTCCACTTGGGTTTTCCAGAAAGAAACAGTAGGGTCTTTATCTTGAATAGCTGATATGTCCAAATGATCTGCTATTTCTAAACTTGGCTGCATAAGCTGGCAAATAGCATCATCTATGGCTAAAGTCTCTGCATATGGCTGTCCAATTTGGCATATAGCTTTAATAGAGTCGCTGTCGATGGTTTCTGTGTTGTCGAGTCTGGAAAGTCTATCCGCATCTGTGTTTGATTTTCCCGGTCTGTATAAAATTTTGAAGTTGAAGGAGGCCAAAGCAGAAATCCAACGATGTCCAGTAGAATCTAATTTTGCAGTACTAAGAACATAGGTAAGTGGGTTGTTGTCAGTGTAGACAGTAAATTCCTTTCCTTGTAGATAGTCGGAAAATTTTTCAGTAATCGCCCACTTCAATGCCAAAAATTCAAGCTTGTGAGTTGGATAGTTCTTCTCAGACTTGCTCAATCCTCTGCTTGCGTATGCAATGACTCTATCTTTTCCTCCCTGTTCTTGGTATAATACTGCACCAAGACCTGTCTGGCAAGCATCCGTGTGTAACTTAAATGGTTTGGTGAAATCTGGATAACCTAGAACAGGTGGTGAAGTAAGCTTATCCTTAAGTAAAGTAAATGCCTCCTGTTGTTCTTGTTCCCATTTCCATTTTGGGTCTGGTTTCTGCTTCCCTCTAGACTTCTTTCCAACAGCCATAATGTCAATTAATGGTCTGGCAATTTTTGCAAAGTCCTGTATAAATTTACGTTAATAACCCGCAAAGCCTAAAAATTGCCTAATTTCCTCTGCGTTTGTTGGAACTGGTCAGTTTTTGACTTTCAACAACTTGTCTGGGTCTGGCTCCACCCCATCTTCAGACACGATGTGTCCAACATATCTAACTTTCTTCTTGAAGAGTGAACACTTCTTGGGAGAAAGTTTAAGCCCATATTCTCTGATACGCTGGAATACTTGCTGCAATCTGTTAATATGTTCCCTGAAAGACTTTGAAAAAATAATTAAATCGTCTAAATATATAAAACAAATTTTAAGATGTAAATCACCTAAGCTTTGCTCTTGTAAACGTTGGTAAGTTGCAGGTGTGTTCGCTAAGCCAAAACTCATTTTATTGAATTCATAAAATCCAAGAGGGCCCACAGTAAATGCAGTTCGTTCTTTATGCCGCTCTTCGATTTCTATTTGGTGGTATCCTGATTTCATATCGAGAACACTGAAATAGGTGTTTCCTGATAGTGAGTCCAGTATCTCCTCAATTCTGGGCAAGGCATAGTTGTCTTTTACAGTTCTTGAATTCAACTGTCGATAATCTATGCAGAGTCGTAGAGATCCATCACTCTTCCTGACCAGTACAACATTGGAGGAGAAAGGTGAGTGTGAAGGTCTAATAATTCCTGCTGCCAACAACTCTTTAATATGTGACCGGACTTCATCTATCATAGCAGGTGGAATCCGTCGGTACTTTTGCTTAAATGGTGTTGAGTCAGCAAGTTCAATCCTGTGTTTCACTTTGTCTGTTGTTCCAATGTCTGTAGCACCTGTGGAAAAAATATCCTGGTATGACTCCACTAATTCTCTGAATGCTTGTTGTTCTTCATCTGATATATTCTCTGGTAGGTGAATTTTGGATAAGATGTCTTCTAATTCTGGTGACACTGATGAAGATTCTCTAGATGTTGGTCCTGTATCCTGTATTTCTACTGGCTGAATCTCACAAATGATGCTCTTTGGTGAAACTGATATGGTTCTAGTTGTGACGTTGTTGATGTTTACTGGCATTATCTGATGATCCTCAAACAGATAAGGATGGAGAGTTGCCTCAATATCAACATCACTTGGAATACAGGATTTGTTAGATTCATGCATCATAACAATACATCTGTGGTAAGGAATCTTCTTGTCAATGTACCCATTGATGGTAATGTTGCTGTTTGGAGGAATGATCACTCTGGATGTCTCTGCACTTTTCACTAAGCCTAGTGAATACCCATTCCTGCTTAATTCCTTCTCTCTAATAGCAATACAGCGGAAGGCTAAGTACCAGGGTGTCATTAAAGCTGCTTCTTGAAGAAATCTGGATCCATATTCCTCCTTTGTGACATCTATAAGACTCTGGATTATGTTGGTTCCAATAAGCACAGGAACATGCATATTGTAGTTGCTATTTGGAACAACAAGGAATAAACAATTCTGGAGTCTGTCCAATGTTGGAATACCAAATGGTGTTAGGTTGACACACACATAACCACTATATGGCATCAGTTGTCCATCAGCACATTCTATATTAATAGCCTCTTCAATGGGATGTAACTCTACATCTTGAAGGTACTGATCATAAAAAGACTGGCTTATAGTAGATACAGTAGCACCAGTATCTAGAAGAGCAGTACACTGAATGTCATTGATGGCAACTGTAATCTCATTTGGTTTTAAGTGTACTGACGATTTGTAAAACCTTGCATTGCAGTGGTCAGTTGATTAATCTTTGCCTCAAGATCATCGAGTCTATCAGTAGAGTGTTCAGCAGGTGTTGCAGCTTTTGCAGTTGCTGATTTCTTCTCTTTGATTTGAGGTTGATGCTCCATCTCTACTTTTCTCACTGCTGATCTGAGCTCATCAAAGTTGAGAGTCTTGTCAAAGAGATGTCCACAAATATCTTTCAGTGATGGCCTTAATCCTTTGAAGAACATTGTTCGTAGCATCTCATTGGACTGTGACTGTGCAATAAGTCCTTTCTGTATGGCTTTGCTTAGAATATCCTCTAATCTGCAACTCCATCTTGCACATTCCTCATCATCCTTTTGTCTAGCACTATAGAACTCGGACAGGATGTCCTCTTTCTCAGCTACAGTACCATAGATGCTATCTAATTTCTTGATGATACTTTGAGTGGATGCCCCTGGTCCAAGATGCACTATCACACGACTCGCTTCTCCCTTCAACGAACGTCTAATGGCATGATGGATAGTGTCTGGATGATATGATTCATTGATGAGACATTCCACTTCATACTTCCAAACATCATAAGTAACATCACTCTTACTATCTCCTGAGAAAGTCGATATCCGTGGGAACGGAGTGTAAGGCATAGGTTTCCCAGAAGATGGTGGAGGTTGAGCTGTGTTACTGGAAGCTGTTGTGCTTGGAGATTCAGTTGTCTCTGTAGGTTCTTCCTTAATAAATGTAGCTGTCATCCAGTCTATGAAGTCCTGTGGGGTATCAGCCTTAGGCTTCAACGTCATTGCCTTCCAGGCAATAAGCATGTTCTTCACTTCCTCCTTTGTCATCGCTGCTTCTTCAGACATGATTGTTGAATAATTGTATGGTAACACAAATAATAGTACACAATATTTACAATGCTGCAGAATAATACACAACATTTAAAATAAAGCAACTGTTTGTACCTGTAATTTATCTCATGGTGAAATAAAATTGCAAATAATTCCAGGAGGGTAGTTCAAAATGAACTAATAATCTTTGGGAAAGTATAAACAATGTCAAAATATAAATAGAAAATGAAAGTAGGATGCACTTCCGCTAAGTGTTGCACTTCCGGTCAATAAATGCACTCAAAATATTTTATCTTATGGCTGAAACACAAAATACTATTTACAACCTGCAATAAAGATAACTTTTAATTCTTTGCACTGTAATAAGCAAGTTTGGTAAGCGTGAATCAATTCAAAAACAAATCAAAAGTATCAGCGAGTAATTTCAATCCTGAAAACAAACAGATAACTTTGTCACTATGAACTTACTTGTCGATCAAAATCAGCTGATTTTATGTTGAAGAAATGAAGTGCAAATAATCAAATAAACACAAGGTTTTAAGCAGAAATATTTACCTGAGACGTAGGAATCTTTAAGATAACAACACAAGAACACAAAAACTGAATGCAAAGATTGTTGTTGATGTTTTAAAACAAAATTAAAGTGCTGAAAACAAAAAGTTAAGAATTACCGAATCACGTTTTGTAAACTTCCGGTTTATGAATGAAACGGATTTCGAGCTCGAACGGAATTCGCAAAACAAAACCGAACTCGACTGAAATGCGGAGATGAAACCGAACCCGATCTAAATTGATACGAATGAAATTATACAAACTCTGCTGTAAAAAATAAATAATATGTACAATGCAAAGGTAATGGAATTTTGGGTAATAGGTTTTTTTGGGATTAACTACCAGACAATTACAAAACCACTGATAACACTGAAGCAACAATGACCTCACAAAATATCACGACAAACTCAGATGAACTGACTTGAATACGACCAATATAACTAGTAAATTCAACTGTTGTAGTCTTACTGTCTCGTCTATAAAATGTCAGATGAAAGATATAGAAATTAGCTACTAATTAATACTGGGGATGGAATGAGGGAAATATGTGCACTGTTAATTACACAACTTACCCATGCTCTCACTCTCACTGTAGTTCTTCTTACATTTTAAAGTTCTAATACCAATATGTGCACAATAAAAAAATAATAACCCAGTTATGACGGACAGAACAGACAGACAATGATCAACTTTGAACTATAAAAATATTACTAGCTAGCTAAATGTAGGCCTATCCAAAAAAAATTTACACCACTGATCGATCGTGAATATTAAATTCTTTACAAAGAAAAAAATATATATATTTACATATTCAACTCTAACGGTGCACCAAGTTCTAAAATCTACAGTTTATAAACATGCATGTAACTCACCAGCTGGTAAAGATAAATATCACAGATTAAATTATTGCATGCAGTCTCAAATGCACTACACCGGTGCCACTGATGATCCTTCAGAATGTCACTTGTTAGGCGCGGATCAAAGTTTGTAACTTGGGTGGATAAACACAGTCATCACAGGTAAGTTTATGCGTCACTGATGGCCTGACGATCTCCATGGATCCTTAAACGTACCACACACCATACACTCGTCTCCAGTCTGCACTCAAAGCCACTGTGTCCCAACGTGGGCGCCAAAATGTAACAGGGGTATCACTATGGAAGTATATAACACAACACTCCTGTCAGGGTTCATCAGATTTATTGCACAGTGGAGTGATTATAAATATATAGTGTTGTATTATGTAAGCCCATTTTATGGGAATAGGCTTTCCCACAAATTGTTAATATAGAAGTATCTACATGAATGGTGATCAGAAATGGAAATCTGTCCAAAGTCAAAAATGTCTTTTATGAATATATATATATAGTCTGGTCAAATCAACCACTGAACAAAGAATACTCAGAATAAAGCGGGAAAACTCCAACCCAGTCAATAAAACCAATAGAATCAGACCTTTCAAATCAATAACCAATAAAAACCAAAATAACAATAACCACTTCCAAAACACCTGACCAATGCCCTTAGGTAATATATATAAGTATGTACAGGTAAGGGAGAACTAAGGGGTGGATCTAGGTTTTGAATAACAAATTTAAATAAAAGTTAAAATATATCTTCTGGCAAGTTCTGTTACTTTATTTTTGTACAAATCCAACACTATTACATATAACATGTGTAATCTTAATTGTTATAACTATAAACTCCATTACGCTCCCTCAATTTGAAACTTACTCAGAGATCGAAAGACACATTATACGTAATTGAATCTATATAGTGTAAGATGCTCTGTAATGAGTGTTTTACAAACAAGTGTCTTTCAACTGTCGTATATCTGTAATGATTTGATTTTTATTAATCTCTAGCTTAAGGATGAGGATGAAGAAGGTGTTTCACAGTCCCGCCACCCACGCCGTCATTATTGCTCTCATTATAATAGACGTTCTTCTCCTTCTGGTGGTACTGCTGGTAGACATCGACGTCATAGAGGGTACGTACAGACATACTGACGTCATAGAGGGGGGTACTTATAGATATATCAACGTCACAGAGGATATTTTAAGATATATCAACGTCATAAATGGTATGTACATGGCCGTAGGAACCGGGGGGGGGGGGGGCACGGGGGAGCCATGCTCCCCCCGATAATTTTGCCGATCTATAGTTTACTATAGAAAATATAGCTACTATATGCTTGTGCCCCCTCAATAAAAACGTCTGATGACCTTTTGACCTTTTTTTTTTTGCTTGTCAAGGAATTTTTGGTAGTTGGTAGTGCCCCCTCAACTGAAAATGTATAGCTGTGCCCCCCCCCCCCAAAACTGAAATTGCTTCCTGAGGGCCTGATGTACGACGTCAATAAAGGTACATACAAACACAACGACGTCATTGAAAGTACGTACACACATATAAAAAGCACATTAATTGAATTAAAGGGAATACATACAAATATCTAAAAAGCACCTTAGTTTAATGAAAGAGGGAACGTAAACATCTGATTAGCACCTTAAATCAATGGGAGAGGGTATACACATAAAACATCTAATTTGCACCTTAGTTCAATGGAAGAAGGAACGTACAAACATCTAAAAAAAAAAAAACACCTTTAGTTATTTCTTTTAAATAGGGTATGTACATACATCTAAAATTCTTTTTAGTTTCATGTAAGAGGGTAGGTACAAAAATCTAAAAAGCATCTTAGTTCAAAGAAAGACAGCATCGAAAAAGTACCTAAGTTCACTGAAAGAGGATACGTACAAACATCTAAAAAGCACCTTACTTAAATGAGAGAGGGTACTTATAAACATGTGTCTAAAACGCACCTTAATTCAATGAAAAAGGGTACGCACAAACATGTGTCTAAAAAGCACCTTAGTTCACTGAAAGAGGAAAGTACAAACACGTATCTAAAAAGCACCTTCAATTAATGAAAAGGGTACCTTCAAACACTCAGAACTCTGACTTAATGGAAGTTAGATATAAACACTTATCTTTGTAACAGTTCACGCTGAGACCCCCGAGGAGGAGGAGGAACTGAAGCTGGAGGTGGAGGAGGGATTACACTATGCCGCTCTCACAATTATCTCCCTCTTCGTGGTAGAGGTATAGTGTTCACAGAAATTATGGAGATATTTTTTATTGATAAATTTATCTAAAATATTGAATTGATAGCATACAAATCATTTAATTTTACTATTTTATTTAATGACAATACTTCGTACTTTCTAATGACACATGCAGTTTTAAATAATGGATAGCCTCCCATTTATTAAATATACTTGCTGATATTTAAAATTACTGCCATTGAAAATAGAAGGTCCATGTAAGTAATGCATAATTAAGGAGTTGTTAAATCTGACGATATTTCTGAAAGACCGAATATTCCATCGTCTACCTTGTATTATGTGATACAAAATATTAAGAATAAGAGGGTATCAATTAAAAAAAGAGTCTATTAGGCTTAATAAACTAACATACACAGATCAAAGTAGGCCTGGAGAAAACCACTAAATGTAGAAAATTGGGGTTTCATACCTAGCCCTACCAGCTCTTTCCCTCTACCGAATTCCTTTCTAGTTTTCAATATTTTGTCCCACGTGAATCAATAGTAGACAGTGGAATACCAGTGTTTCAAAAGTATTGCCAGTTTTGTAATTCTTTGATATTACATTTAACACCTTCAACTGGCTTTCTTTTTTTCATTTCGAACATAGCAATCGATTGGCAGTATATGAAATGCTGAGTTATTCATGAAAACTGCATATAAAATACAAATGTAACAAGTATTGTCATATGATAAAAAACTGATTTCAAGCTATAATTTACGAGGGTTGTCCATAAAGTTTGTGGACAATGACGTTTTTGTCAAAATGAATGGTTCTAGATATACTTAATGTATACCAAAATATTTGTTATGAAAATTCAAGTCAGACTAATTTGGTTTTTATTGTTAGAACTTGCATGTACATCTATGTTTCGATAACTGAAACAAAAATTTTGTTGGAGTATTTAGTTCGGTTATAAAATGTTCGCACGAACACTTTGATCTTTCATCTAACCAACGCTGTAAAGAAGATTGTACTCAATCAAAATATATTTTTCAGTAGACAGAGCTAATTCAGTTATAGAGCTAGAACACGCATAAATACAGACTGTGTTCAAGATAAACTACAATATTTTACTCGGAGTTCACTTCAAAAACAGTTTGATAAAAGATACGTCAATGAAAGCATGAGCAGTCGATGAATTTCCTTCTACATGTATATGAAAATTTACAGAAAGAAATATACAGAAGTCAGCATATCAAATGCAAAGCATAAATGAATATGCATATAATTGCTTTAGAATTTTACAGGTGATTTTAAAGATGGCAGTAGAAGGAAAGCACTTCTTTGATGAAAAGTGGGAGGTAAAAGAATATGCAAATATTTTCTAAGTCTTTGGTATTTGATTTATATGCTTTTAATTTATCGATTAGTTTTCCAGGTATTTATGTTATACATATATGCTCTGTTACAACTTTATAGGTAAATTCTATTGGAAACGTTCGCCTTATTTCAAGTACATATATATCTAAATCAATATTTGTAAATATCTATATATATATATATATATTACTGTTTCAAAGATAATGACCTTCATTACTTTGTTCAAATTATATATATCCCGATGAGGAGGAAGATGAAAAGACTAACAGGTATTAAAAGTGTTCTGCAAAAAAAAATCCATATCTACACTATAATGTTTTTGTTGTTTATAAAGACTATATTTTTTCTCAGATATTTGATGCTGTCATTATCTTCGTGACCTTTGGCCTTGACCTTGCGTTAGCCTTCAGTCCTGTTAGTTACGTGGTCAGGGACAGTGTATCATTGCTTATCTTCTTCAGATTGTGGAGAGTCATCAAAATTATGGCCGGTGAGAAAGCACTTTATTTTCTCCAGTATACTTTTGTAGGAAAATTTTTATTATATAATCTATTTCCTGTCAACGAAATGGATATTTAACTGTAAATACTTGTGAATATAATAAACGAAATACCGGTATTATGCACAGTTTGAGCTTTTACAATTCAAGCTTCGTTAAGAAATTTTACTGATATTTTTGCCCAAAGAAATCCAGTATTGTGTGAGGAAAGAAGTTCCTGAAACCATTGATAAAGAGAAACTGGCCAAAGAGAAAGCAGATTGGCTTGCAAGACGCAAGGAGGCACACACTAATGTTAGTATGACTGTACACTTTGTGTTTGAGGATGTGCTAGATAAGAGATACACAATAGTAATTAGAATGTAAAAATCAAAAATACACGAGAAGATTATTAAGTGTAATATAAGAGGCATGAATCAAAGGAAATACTTGATGATTGACGCAATAAGAAGTCATTCGTAATGAACTATTTTATCCTCTATTAGATTAAAGAATACCTTAAACAATATGCGCTTTAAATGCTTCATATCTTTGTTGATTTTAATTTTTAAATAACAAACAAAACAGAATAAAAGCATATTTTATCAAAAAGAATATAAATAATATTTCGAAGATCATTAAATTTATTACATTGTAAATCTCCTAGATAGTAAGATTTACTATATTTTCCATTTATCAGTCCTCCCGAAATATTTTTAAGTTTTCTTCATTATATCTGACAAATGAGATGTGTTCATTTGTATTTAATATACTAGTACATATTAAATTAGACGATTTCATTTCCATCACGTGATAGCCTATATTTTGTCATTGTATCAACAATAGTGTGATTAGATATCGATGTAGTATGAATGAACAATCATATATCAACTCCAGTATGTCGGGTCAAACTGAATAATGAAATGTAAATAGTTCGGATAACTAGTTGACCTTATATAAACAAAAGTGTGTACAATACAATACCCTTTGTAATGCCAGAGATTAATCTTTTATCAGTTATTAGCTTAAATACTATCATAATGCGTGGATGAAATACTGCATTAACTTATCAATAATTTAGAGGACTATACTGAACTTTTCTTGTTATGCAAAATGATGAACAATATTTCACATTTTTTGATTATATGGATTGCTATTTGTGGTAAATATACTTTGAATTATCTCTTTTCTGAGTTATACATGTTCGTCGATGTTAAATGATAGTGTTAGAGATACATGTGACATTGGTAAAATTTTGTTTCCTTAGTACATGACTTTAATCAAAAGACTTTCCACTTTCCTTTACAGGTTTAACTGTGAGCTCCTCAAGTCGCATCAGGTTTTCTCAAAATGCACAGGTATATACTAAATAGTAGAATTTCAAAGTAAATATGATGTGTATTATCGAGTGAAAGACATCGAATGCAACTAAGAGTACACTCTTATAATAATAATCTTAAAGTGAAACCCCGTACATGGTGCGGACAATATTATCCTGTGTATAAGTACTGAGCAAACATTTAATGCGGCAACAGATCTAGCTTTTATTTATATAAAAATTGAAATTAAAGCTTAAATGGTAGAACAATAAATATATTTAACAGCCTGTCACCAAAACTTTCTGTAATTCATGTGTGTTCCTTTGTTTAATTCTTTTATTGCAGAGTAAATTTAGAAGATCGATTTCTAACTTTCAACTTCATGGAGATGCTAATAGAAAAACTTCATTCACTCCTACGCCTTTATCATTTGGGGCCTCGAACAGACATACGACGATTTCTTCTTTACTATCGAGTAATTCGCCCTCATTGTCAGCAATCAAAACTTCTAGATCAACTTTTTCACGTTTATCTTTCGCAAACACTTTGAAGGTCAATGCACCAAGTTCCTTGTCAACCATGCCAAAATCTTCATTTACAAGTTCTATTCCTCCAATGACCTTCAGTGCACAAACCATATATGCTACACCTAGTGCACTTGCAACATCCAAAGTTTCTTCAACTTACAACATGAAAATCCAAAGTACTGGATCTCCTTCACAGATAAAAGTATCAACTAGTACAAATATATCTTCCAAAACTCCTTCAGTGAGTACAAGAAAAGAGACATCATTAAATTTGATAATTTCAACGCTGAGAACATCTAATTTACGTCCTTTAACATCTGCTTCGAAAAATTTAACAACCTCTTCAACATTGCGAACTATACAATTATCCAATGCTCCATTTCAATCTACCGTTTGGAAAAGCTCAAAGCCCACACAAGCAATTCCAACGCAGATTGTCCAAACATCATCGATTTCGCAAAAAACAGTAATACATTCCACTGTTCTTACATCTAAACCAACAAATAATTCAAAGACAACCACGACGAAATCTTTCCAAAAAATCACAACTCAAAAACCTCATTCTGGAGATACAGCTACAAAAACCGTTAGCTCTAAGACTACACCTACTAAATCAAGAGCTTCAAACACTACCCCTACGATGTTAACGTCGTTGAGAACTAAATCAACAGATCAGTCCAAAACATTAATGACTATAAATCCTCCTTTTACGAAAACATCAATTCAAACAACAAAAGAACCCCCCAAAACGACAACGACTAAAAGTCTACCGTCAATAAAGACGACAATTCAAACAACAATAGAAGCTGCCAAAACATCAACGGCTAAAAGTTCATATTCAACAAAGACAGCAATTCAAACAACAACAACAACAGAACCTTCCAAAACAACAACGCCTAAAATTCCACCTTTTACAAAGACATCAATTACAATAATGGCACCTTCCATAACAACAACACCTAAAAGTCTACCATTATCAAAGACAACAATTCAAACAACAGCGGAACCTTCCAAAACAACAACGACTAAAAGCCCACCTTTAACAAAGACAACAATTCAAACAACAACAGTACCTTCCAAAACAACAACGCCTAAAAGTCTACCATTCACAAAGACAACAATTCAAACAACAATAGACTCAAAGACTTTAATCCCTATAAGTTTATCTTCCATAAAGACAACACCACCAACTACAGATGAGTCTCATTTGTCATCAACAATATCCTCAAACACTAATATCCATATTTCTAATCCACCAACCTCAAATGAACCGCCATCATCAGGTATCACCATCAGCAATAATCTGTCCACAGCATCAAGACTGAAATCTTCAATGAAAACAACCAGTCGTTGGACAGTGCATAAATCTACTTTACCAGAACAAACAATTCAAGCTTCAACTGCTACAGCAAAAGGTACTCCATCAACATCTGCCATTGTATCAACCGCGACTCACCTTAAAATGAACACAACAGTTTCACCTATTCATAGAAATTCTGCATCTCTATCGCCTTTGCCTAGCTCGGGATCAGATTCCGGGAAGTCAACTAGATTCACAAGCACAGTACCTCTCACTTCAACTACTGCAAATTCTCAAGAGCATAAACATTCCTCCGCAGATCATGGTTATTCAAGTTCAAACCACCATACAAATAATCTTTACACCACTGAAATGCACGTCTCCTCCACCTCTGATATCTCTTTGTCCAATCAAATCCCTCAAAGAACTGGATTAAGTAAGCGTTCTATTGGCGCCATTGCTGCGGCCTGCACAATAGTTGGGTGTATTGGCATCATTTTGGGACTATATTTATTCGTTAGTAAACGGTATAAAAGTGGAGAGAAAACGTGGGCAGTTGTTGACGATCACACCCGCATTGAGACCATTGACATGAGTGAAAAGATGGATAATGTTCTTCACGACTACGATCAGGGTGAAAGGAAATCAAATGGGGAATCCTTTAGACCGGTTAACCACATCTAGAAAACAGTCTCACAAAGTCAGTCAGACGTGGCAATTTCAAAAGCAGCCTATGCCTTTCTATATATTCAACCCGATTTTGTTGGAATTCTGTGAAATGCATTGATTCACATCCAGAGTTTTAGAGCCATGTTTAAGTCGTCTATTACAGTGGAGAATAAATTAATATTTACATTTTAAGCAACTGAATTAAAACCAAATTCTAAACATTTTGTAATCGTTAGGCTCTTACATTAAATTTTCTTATATAGCGTCGACTTAGCAGAGTTGAACTCCGCAAGTGCACAATGAACGGCTGGTCCGCATTTTGTAATGTATGTAATGTGTTTAATTCAATAGATTAATAAATGAAATAAATTAAAAGATTGGCAAATGATTAGTTCAATTGTTCTCCCTGCAATTAAAGAGTAGCCAAATGATTGTTAAACAGTTGTATCATTATACGTTTTAGATTCTCAAATAAATGAGGTTGAATAGCTAATGCTGAAAGATTTCAGAATTCTTTTGACGGTTATAGGAATCGGTACATTAAAAATCTATCTTTTTAATTTGTTTTCTTAAAAAAAAAAACTAAAGAATTTCATTATAAAATTATACAGAATCTTTTTTTTTCATTATGCTATACAGTATATACACAAAGTATATACACAACAATCATAACAATCAAAAAAAAAAAAAAAAAAAAAAAAAAAAAAAAAAGAAAGAAAGAAAGAAATAACACTCCAAATTGCACTTTTCGATTCATATAAAAGGGGAAATTGCACTTTTTCAATCTAATTAAAATTAGATGTTCCGAATCCGCTACCGCTTCTCAAACATCTAACAACATCTCATTAGGGGCCACGTCAGAGCGACCTTTCGATTATGAATAAACATAAAAACTTTGGCCAATCAGATTCAACCTTCTGTATACAATTCTAAAATTAGTTCCCGGCTACATCTTTACATTACTGATGCTCAGTAGACTGTTTTACGTTGAATTAAAGTAATTTTGGTATAAATTGAACGTATAGTCCGCCAATCTGACATTCTTACCTGAATAACGCAAACGAAAATGCACAAACTACTATATATCCCGCACGTCACATTCATATATATAGCACGGTCTTTACCATGCATATTTTGTTTACTACGAAACCACTCGGGCGTTCAGGTTTGGCAGTAAAAAAAGAAACGCATCCGAACTATAAGGCAAGATTTCGGCGACGGCGATTTCATTGGGTGATCGAAAGGTCGTTCTGACGTGACTCCGAATGGGATGTTGTTAGATGTTTGAGAAGCGGTAGCGGATTCGGAACATCTAATTTTAATAAGATTGGCACTTTTTGAAACTCTATTCATTACTTACTGTTGTCATACATGTATTATTCGAACAAAATATAAAGGTAAAGTTAAGGAGGAAGATTTTTCTTAAAATTCAAGTAAAAATATATATAAACGTAGTTTCAAAAGAGTATTGAATTGAATTTAAATTTCCAGTTTATATAAACTATTTATGATATACGAGGGGTGATCAAAAAGTTCGCAAACTAATTGAATTACTTCCTTAAAAGAAATAAAATGAAATTTTAGTGTTCATTATTTTTTAAAGTAGTCTTCTCCGATGTAAATGCACATCTGCCATTGTTCTGCCCATGCGCGAATCACGTGATCCAGGCGGTCACGTGACATGCTTCGTTGCGGTCTGTTCACAGAAGCTAAGAGATTTTTCCGAGTCTTATTTTTCTTACCATGCAAGTTATTTTTTATAACAAGAACAGACCATCTGTCAGAAATGACCAAATCTCAGCAATAGGATGAGTGGATAAGGATATCCTTACCCAGAATTAGCATGGCGACCATCACAACCCGAGTCCTCTGTCTCGGGAGCGTCGTTTATCCAATGTGGAAAAATTATGGGCGCCTTCATTTTTTCATATCTCATATGTTTAGAGTCTAAAGTAAAGTAAAGATATTTTAGGGATTTAATAATTATATTATTGCTCAGATATTCAACTATTTTTCTTACTGTGATTTGGCGATCTTTAAACACAAATTGCTCAACTAAGGACACATCTTTTTACCGGCTTGCTTTCGCTGGGCAACAGAACAAATTTCATTTTTGACCATCTCTCTGCCTTCACTAAAACATTCAATTCAATTAATGACTGAACTTTTGGTAAGTCTTTTGTCTTCATAAAACTTGTACAAATTATTATATTCTGCTGCAAAGGAATTTCCGAGATATGTTAAACTTTACAGCCGTTCGTTGCTCGAGTATGACTGAGTCAACCATTTTTTGTCACAAGTGACCTACAAACTGACGTCATTTTCACATTGTGACGTCACAAACACGAAGCAAAACATTATTTAACATCTGCTATTTATAGAACATGTGTGCCAAATTTCATTCTCATCTGAATTGTGGTTTTTTAAATATAGAGATAGTTCGCGAACTTTTTGATCACCCCTCGTATGTATATATATATATATATATATATATATATATATATATATATATATATATATATATATATATATATATATATATATATATATATATATATGCATGTGATATGTGATGCATGGGTGGAATTATATAAAATACTGTTGATTTAATCTCTCTCTCTCTCTCTCTCTCTCTCTCTCTCTCTCTCTCTCTCTTTCTCTCTCTCTCTCTCTCTCTCTATATATATATATATATATATATACATATTGATGGATTAGGATATAAAAGAGGTAGTTCATCACAAAGAAAAGCATTACCATTTTGAAAGTACCTGAAATAGAATAAACAAGTGAGGCCAACTTAAAAAGTTATTATTTTTTTTTTGCCCTTTCCCGACTCAGCTTGAAATAATTTTTTCCCCAGAAAAAGTATTGAGTCTGGCCATTTTTTAGGCAATTGGTCGTTAGAGGGCAACCAAACAATTTTTTTTAAAGATGGCCCAAGCATTTGTAATTTCTTTTTTTTTGTCCATATAGTTGGGGAAGTCGTGGCATTTTGACTTAATCAGAAATTCTTTATATTTTATTGATCATCTTTAATTGAAGCTTTTAAAACAAGATGCAAACAAATTTAGTTGATTAT